GAGAGTCAGGGATTTTACAGATCCTGGTCTCACCTCAGCCTCTCAGCAGGTACAGTCTGCAGGGAGAGGGAAGAAAAAGGGTCAGAATGGACAGCCTACTTCCAGAAAATCATCACCATTCATAAAGCACTAAGCAGAGCTGTAAGAACTTCCCCAAAGGTTAATTTCCCTGCGGACTGAGGGCTCTCAGTTGAAGCACGGGCTGGACCTGCCACGGACAGACTCCAGGAAGCCCAGAAGTAAAAGCCACTGGGCCAATTCCATAAAACATTCCAAAATCAGGCTCCTAGGATGTGACCATCTCCTCTCTCACCTGGAGGTGGAAGCACAAGGAATGATCTTCCCTCCTGTGGGTTTTCTGGGATCTGCAGTGAACCGCAGGGGGAAGAAAACAAAGCCTGAATATTTCGCACGACTGGAACAGAAAAGTGGGGAAAAGGGAGGCTGGGGCACTGCTGGGGTGATAACTGGGATCCAGCCTCTCCACACCAATGGAAGCAGAGACTGAGTGACAGAGCCTTTGGGACCACTTTGCTGGGATTCATAGGAAAATGGGTGAGTTTTATTTTGGCAGTAAAGCTAAGCTGCTTCTCACCTCATCAGCCGGGTACAGCAGCAGCACCCGCAGGAACCTGGCCAGGTGGCTCTGCCTGGCAGAGGGCTCCCCACTTCCTGGGCATTGTGTGCTACGGGGCTGTGCCACTGGCCATTAAAACAGTTCCCACCTGGCCCTTCACAAAGGCAAGGTGCTTTTTCCATACAGCAAATGGTTTTTGAATTAAGAAGGTAACACTATACTCAACTGGAGAAGAAAAAAATGAGAGCTGTAAAATTTTCCCACGCCAGGCAAAAAAGAAAGCCAAATCAAACAAAACAAAAACTAACATAACAATGGAAAAAAAAACATATCAAGCATATTTCAAGAGAGTTTAAATCTGAATGAAGTGACTTACTTAGAAAGCTTGAAAAGCTGCTATGCTGCAAAAATCTAATGCTGCAAAAAAAGCCTCTTCTTACATCACATTTTAGCCCTGAACTTGCAAAAACCCCCGCCAAACTAACAATTCACCACATACAGTTCTTGAGTCATTCCTGTCCTTGAGCACGAGTCAAGCTAAAGTTATGGAGACAAGAAAAACATAAGTGACTCAATGCTGCTCCTTTGGAAATTACAGAATCAGAGGGAGGGTTTTCCTTAGCTTAGGAAAAATGCACAGCCAGTTCAGCAGATACTGAATAGCAGGAAAGTCAGGAGATACATGCTTTGCTGTCAGAGACAAACATAAATAAATATTTACATTAAGCCAGAGGTCTACAGATGGTCTGATCAGAAGTCTTGATGCAGAAAACCAGCCCTGGGGTATCCTCTTAAGGGACACAGGAGGAACTCCTTGGCTGGGACACAGCCTCGCTCAGCGCTGCTCCCATGGCTCTCGGCTCTTTGCCAGTGCTTGCAGTGTCCCCGCAGCTCCCAGAGGATGGCAGGGCCAAGGCTCCCGTTCGCTCCTCCGGCACTCAGCGAGTGTTTCCTGCCACGCCCCCTGTGCAGAGCAGCCACGCGCGGCTCGCCGGTGCTCAGCCCTGCCTCCAGGGCTTTGAATGGCACATCCACCTGCAAAATAGGCAGGGAGAGCTTCTGGCTCACACGCGGGATTTGACAACACAAAGAGCACGCGTGGGTGTCAGAAAGGGCTCAAATCTCATCTCACATCAACGATTCTTTTCATTTGATTCCTTCCCTGCTGCTCTCATACTTAGAAAGCTCACCCAGCTCTAACACCCACACAGTGGACAGGTTTCCATCCTCAGTGTCAGAGCCACACACTCAGCTTTAGCTGGACAACCTTCAGTCTCCACAGTCAACTTCCTCACACTATTTGCTCACATCTCTTCCTACCTGCAGCCACAAGATTTTACTAGAGCAAAACACCAACTTGATTGATGATGTTAGATTCCAACACAAAGCTACAGCAAAAGATTTAGGTCCATTTGCACGAAAGGCAAGAAGAAACATGACTAAAAGGTAAGTGAAGATCTGTAGAAGTGAATCAGAACTAACTAGAAACAACATACCAAATTACTGAGACATAAGTAGGAGCCTAATGCTGTGCTTGAAAAACAGAAAATGCTAGTTACCATGAAAATTGACGGAAAAGTTACTGAAAATCTTGCATAACACAAGATACCAATGACATGCTACAATGCACTAAATTACTCTGGGTGAAATAAGCTGTTCCCAATAAAGTATTGAAGAACATTAAGGTTTCACAGAGGTGATTTAGACAAAGAATGGTATGAGGTTAAATCTCACCTTTTCCAGCACCTCCTGCAAGACAGCTCGACTTTCAAGAGTCAGAGGTTCCTCGTGAATAACAGCTTGCTTTCCTGGGGTCCCTAGAATACAGCTGAGATGCCACAGTTCAGATCATGCACTTCTCACTCTGAAGCCAAAAATCCAGACACAGCACTCCTCCAGAACCCTGAGAGGCAGCCATGGATTCTGGGGCTGCAGGATGCAGTGAAAAATTGCACAGACACCAGGAACAGTGCAGAGCTGGCTGGGAGAAGCAGCATTACTCTGCAAGAAAAGTGCCATTCTGCAGCCAGGTTAGTGCTGTGGCGAATTTTACTGCCATGCCATTTTACTGCCAAAAAATAAGGTATCGTAGCTGTAGAATTAAGAAAAAAACCCAAAGGCACTGTCCAGAGCACGAGGGTGAACATCCACAGCAATACAGCAAAATAAATGTGAACTTCAGAAAAAAACAGAGGCATTAAAACTAGTTCAGGTGAACACTGTCCATCAGAACAACGCTTGCATAAAAGAATCTGGCATAAAGCCTTGATTCATGATATAGTTACTGAGGAATACCTTAAGACCACTTTTCAGTGCTATAAACTGACTAAACCCAAGCACACTTTCATTTTCTAGACAGATTTTAAGAGGGCTGAGTGAGGGTGTCAAGCACATACTCAGCTGTCAGATTTGCCTTTGCCCACCTATCATAGTTTGACATAGAAGTGAGTTTCTCAAAAAGTTGGAGTCAAATTAATCAGTCATCAAGTTTAGATATTAACACTTAAAGTGACCACTAAAAGCATTAGACATGCTTCTGAAAACACAGGGGGTTAAAAGCAAAGAACTCCCAAGAGAACTCTCTCTTCTGTTCCAGTCCACCACGAGTACAGAGGGGAAGCCATGCCACCTGTAACTGAAGCAGACCAGAGACCCAGAAAAAGAAAGAGGGGTGAGGAGAATGAAACCAAACCAGCTCCCTCACAAGACATAATAAAGGTAAAAAGCCACTAAAATGTCCCAAGCAAGCCCCCCAGAGAGAGAGAGAGAAAGAAAGAGCCCATTCCACCTAAAAATTTAATATCATGTGCCAGCAGTACACCACAAAGAAAACAAAAATAAGAGAAAAGGAAGTGCCCAGCCATAAGAGTTCAGCAGCCTGCTGTAAGATCTCAGCCATCCTGGGAGATAAGGCTTTTAACCCTTTCCTGAAAAAGGAAAACTTTACAAAACCTTACTCCTCCCTAATCTAAAAGAAAAGAGAGACAGTCTAAGACCTGAAATGTCAGAAGAAAATGAGGGAAGAATCCTGAGTAGAAAGAAATAATAGAGTAGGCTTAGCTAGACTTTTCTTGTATAGCCATAGACTAAACCAATTTTCTCCTACAATACAGAGACTGCATTTTTAAGAGGATACAATTGCTTAAGCTAAAAAAAGCACAAGAGTAAAGTAAAGAAAGAAAAAAGTTAAAGAGGGTATAGTAGTACCCTCTAGCTTCAAATAAAAAAAAAATCTCTGTTCTCGAGACCCTCAGCCACTCCTCTGATCAAATGAGAAGGACCCTTCCTGTGCCCTGGACCTGGTGATATTTTCTTGTCTGGAATGCAATTTCTCATACAAAAGGCAGACCTGGCTGTTTTGGGTTGTTTTTTTGTTTTTTTTTTTTTTCCTAGGATTTGCCTTACACAGGTGATGTTCCTCACAACTGAGCACTCTAATGCCAACAGCAGCAACACAGAAAAAGCTCCCTTGAGACTTCCCAGAGATATGACAGGAGCACCCTCAGTGTGATGCCTGGTGAATGAAGTAGAGCTGGCAGGCTGACCAACAAACATTTTGTATTTACCTGTCAATGGAGTCAATACTGAAACAGAACAAATCTCTCTTGCAGTCGAGGTTCCTTGAGGTGCACCTGTAGATGCTGCCAAGTGTCGTTGAGCAGCCAGAGCAGAATCAGGTTTCTACCATGCTGTAAGTAAGAAATAACATTTATTCAGAATAAAATAAAAGGAAGCACCTCTCCCCATCCATTTTCTTAAAAAAATTATAAAATCATGCATTAGAATTTTTTTAGGCATTCATTCTTGCTTTACACATTGTAAATTATGAGCATTCATCTTTCAGCCTGAATTTGCAACAGCTCCTCAGGCTGACTGACCTCAGGAAGACCATCAGAATCACTAAATGGTGGTCGGGACATTAAAGCTCATCCCATTCCAGCCCCTGCCGTGGGCAGGGACACCTCCCACTGTCCCAGCTGCTCCAGCCCCAGTGTCCAGCCTGGCCTGGGACACTGCCAGGGATCCGGGGGCAGCCACAGCTGCTCTGGGCACCTGTGCCAGGGCCTGCCCACCCTCCCAGGGAAAAACTTCCTCTGATATTTCATCTAAACCTGCCTTCCTTCATCCTAAGGCCATTCCCATTCCAATGGCTCCGTGTCCCTGTGAGAAATCCCCCTGCCCTAGGCCACAAGCGCTTGTACAGAGCACCCACATCAGAGTTCCAGGAGTTCTGGGGGCATACGAGCACTCCGGGCCCTTGGCCGGGCATGTCCTCAGCGCCTTCCCCGGGGAGCCCCGCTGTGCCCGGCGCTGTGCCCGGCCGGACCGGCCGTCCCCACCCGAGCCCGAGGACTGCGGGCGATGTGCGGCAGCAATCCCCGCGCCGGGCTCCCAGCGCGCCCCGAGGCCGTCAGGGGCGCCCCACAGCTGACACCGGCGGCGGGGCCCCCCAGGCCCCGCCCCTCGCGCCCCATTGGCTGCGGCGCGGCGCGGCGCGGCCGCCATTGGCTGGTGGTGGCGCGTTTCCCGCGCGCGGGCGGGCGCGATGGCGGCGGAGCGCGGCTTGGAGCTGGTGCGGGAGCTGCACCGCGCGGCCGGCGGGCACCTCCCGCCCTTCCGGGTGAGCCCCGGGGACAGCGGGCGGGCCCGCCGCCGGCCCGCTCCCGCTGACTGTGCCGCTGTTGCAGACGGAGGAGATGCGGCAGGCGCTGGAGGAGATGCGGGCGCTGTACGAGCGGAACCAGGCGGACGTGTGAGTTGGGCGCCCGCTCCCGGCGCGTCCCGCACAGCACGGGCGGCGCTCCCCGGCCCGCAGCTCTCCTACTCCTCTTTCTCCTTCTCCTCATCCCCAGGTCCGAAGCGAAGGCGGGACGGACGGACCTGATTTTCCTCATCCGGTTCCGACACTGCTGCCTGCTCCGGAACCAGCGCTGCCTCCTGGCCTACCTGTGAGTGCTGCGGGGGGAGCTGCCTCCCCTGGCTTCGTCCCTGCTGGCACAGGGGGTCGGGACTCTCGGCACGGGCAGGTGGCTTTTCCACGAGCAGCAAGGCAGCTGTAGAGCTGGTTCCCCTTGTGCTTGTTGCTGATACCACCGCAAAGAGAAGGCTCTGCTTGCTCCCGCTCTAAAAGTGTACATTACTGGATGTCACTGTGGCTTGGGGATATTGCCAGCACTCACCTCAGCAGAGGTGTTGGGTTTGCCCCATTTCTTCCCCTAGGTATGACCGGTTGCTACGGATCCGAGCACTGAGGTGGGAGTATGGCAGCGTTCTGCCCAACACCATCCAGTTCCACATGTCAGCTGAGGAAGTGAGTCAACCTCATTTCTCTTCTCACATATCCCTTCTGATGGATTATTTAGTAAAATCAAAACAGGGTAGTCTCCCCCACACCATAAACATGACATTTAACATGTCTCTCTGTAAATACTGACTTGTGTGTGTTCATTGTCTGTGGGTACAACCCTGTTAACGCCCACAGGTAGAGTGGTTCAATCGGTACAAAAAGTCTCTGGCTACCTACATGAGGTCAGTAGGAGGAGAGGAGGGGCTGGACCTCACACAGGACATCAAACCTCCTAAAAGCCTGTACATTGAAGTAAGTGCAAGATTTCTCGCCTCTATCCAAAGATAAACATTTTCCTGACTATCTCTTTTTGAGCGCTTCATCCCCATCCCAAGTCAGTTCACCAAGCAAAACCTTTCAGAGCTCCAAAGCTTTCACAGGTTTCTATGCTTTACTGTCTGCCAGCATTTTCCTCCTTCTACTGAGAGCACAAAGTATGGCACTTCTAGTCTTGCAGGGAGTCTGTGGTGGGGCGAGTTAAACAGTAAGAAGTTTTTGCAGCTTTTGCAGAAACTTAACTAGACCAACTAGAAACCATGTTCCCAAGCCCGGGACTGTTACCTGGAGAGGGTGGTTGTTTTTTTTTTCCATGGGACTCTTACAGAGTTGTGTTTCCCCTTTGCAGGTGCGGTGTTTAAGAGACCATGGGGAGTTCGAGGTCGATGATGGCACTACCATCCTGTTGAAGAAGAACAGCCAGGTACCTGTGGCGGAGTGTGCTCTGCTCTCTTCCTGCCCTCTCACTCCCATGACACCACCCTGCTTATGCTGGCCTTGCAGCATGCCCCAGTCCCTGCACACACAGCTCCTTGCATGTGATGTCTGCAGGGTCCAGAGTGCAGCTCTGCCTGATCTGGTACCACGAGGCACTGGATGTGCAGCACAAAACAGAGCTGCTTGTGTGCAGTAACAAATCTAACAAATTCTAGGAGGGTTTTTCTGTGTTTCTGTGCAGCACTTCTTACCCCGCTGGAAATGTGAGCAGTTGATCAGACAAGGAATCCTGGAGCATGTTCTGTCCTAAGTGTGCAGGATGGGAGGGACAGCTCTTGCTTGGTGGCTTGCCCACGATGGGGACTGAGCTCTGGTGTGCAGGACTTGAGACTCCTCAGTACTTCTGCAGTGGCACCCTGCCACTCCTTCTATCAGCCTTTGATGCCTTAAAACCACAGCTCTTCATGAGCAAAGGGTGCATGCTGGTAATATAGCAATCCTGGGAATCCAGGATAGTGGGGGAGCATTATCCAAGCCCCACAGCTACACCCAGAGTTTGTGAATGCATTTTTGTTCGGAGTAGTTCTTTGTTCACACTGTGCATGTAAGACACCAACTGGCTGGGCTCTAGAAGCCAAGAAAACTCCATGGCTCCAAAATAAAGAACTCCTTCAGCCTCAGTCTCTTGGGTTTTTAAGAGTTAATGTGGTGTTCATTCAGCACTGTGATCTGGCTCTCCACCCAAACCCATCCTGACCCTGCAGTGCAATGGTTATTTAAGTTTCTCAGTGGAACTGCTCCTCCAAGTATCAGACAAGGCTGTACAAGGTTCTTTCCAGGATCAGACAGGAAGTCTTGTCCCCATCAGAAACCCATAAATGTTGTTTCCTGAGGTGCTGTGTGAATGATCATTGCAGTCTGGGTCGTGGACCTGGGTTTTTCCCAGTGTGCTTGGCCTGTGTCTCTGTTCCTCTGAAGAATCTCATCCTACAGCACTGGTTTGGTAGGGCCTATGGGCTATTTAGGGTGGGAAAGGGAGCAGAGGGTTTTAAGCATTCTGGCTAGCACAAAACCAGAACAAGGCTGAAGAGCTGCTTTCCTTGTTTGGTTTTCCTAATGGAGCTTCTCAGCTCTTGCACTGCATCTGGGAAAACACCTGGAAAAACATCAGCCCTAGGTAAGACTAGCGGTTTGCTTAACTCCCATCTCAGACTGGAGCTGAAAAAGCAAAGAGCTGGGGAAGAATGCAGGAACAGGATTACAGCATTACAGCATTGCTCTGTCCTGCTCACTGCAGAGGCAACAGTGTGGTTGGTTTTGGATCCTAGGTTCGGGCTTTAGGAGGAGCTGTTGGGAATAAATGTCAGCAGCAGCTGGGGAAGGTGACTGAAATACAGAGGAGACCGGAGATAGCAGGAGGTGCTGTAACATTGCACACATTTTAATGCCACAACTCGGCTTTCTTTCCTGCATGGAGTGAGCCAGGCACAGGGTCCTGCAAGCCCTTCTGCCCTAGCTTTTGAGATGTAACTGTGGCTCCAACATCCACCTTCTGCCAAGAGGGAGCACCTGCACCTCCACCAAACACTGCCAAAGAAAATCCTGTGAGCTGGCTGTCCTGAGACAGCCATGACAACAGCACACTGCCACTGAGAAAGGCACCAAGGCTACTGCTTTCAGTTAGAAAATTCAACTATCCACAGGACCAGTTTCCTCAAAGGACTCTAGGCTCCCCATTTGCTATTTTCTGCACAGGAAAATGCTGGCAAGACCAGAGAGGACAAGGCGAATTTCCCAACCCAGCTGTATCTCCCATTCTGCACCTGACCAGCCTCAGCCAGGACATGGAGCTGCCACTGCAGATGTTCCATCACCCACTCAGAGATGCTGGTGTGATTTTTCCAATAAGCTGCTTTAGAGCTGAGGCTTGTTCTTCCAACAGCTGGTTCTTCTCTTCCATGTTCTTCTGCTTCAGCTCAGCAGCCTGCAGGGCCATTGCAAACCTCCTGTTCTCTCCACGGAGCTCTTCAATCAATAGTTTGTTCCTGGAGAGCTGGGCCTAAAGCAGGGACAGTAGGCTTCAGGTTCAGCATCCCATGCAGGGGTACCAGATGGGCAGGGACACACAGCACCAGCCCCTCTGGCACTCACCTGGGCATCTCTGAGCTGAGCTGCCCTCTCTGCCAGCAGAGCTTCAGCATTCCTCAGACTCTGTTCCAGCACCTCTGCCTGCTCCACAGCTGCCTGCAGCAGCTGTTCATGTTCCTCCTGCAGTGGGCAAGAAAGTCTTTGCGTTGTCCCAGCACTCTCCTGGCCTCTGGCAACCCTGGACTGAACATTTCCCCAAGGCCCTGCTCATGGACCCTCACAGTCCTTGAGGCAGAGCAGCGGGCTTCATCAGAGGTGCAGGGTACAAAGAGCAGTGGGACAGATGTCTAGAGCAGTACAGCCTTCCCTAGGTTTGCACCCAACCGGTTTTAAGACAAGGCACAGATTTTACAGCAGTATTTTCTATAAAAATAAGCCATTGGGCAGGAAATCCATCTCCCAGCCATGTCCAGGAAAGTTCAAGGAGAGACAAAGTCTCCTTGGATGCAGTCCTTGTGCCTGCTTGTTATAATTCCTTAGGTTATAATTTGCCCTATCTTTGCCCAGAAGACAAACTCACAAAAACCCAACACCTGTTTGCTCAGTGCCCTAGAGATAAATTCACCCATATGAGTGCAGGCTGATGACTGGAGGATTCATGAAGAATTAAAATTGCAGCTGAATTTGAAGGCAAGTGCATTTTCCAAGTGCATTCTTTATGTCTACCATCTTCCACCCAAACCTCTGGTGGCTGCAATCACAGCTGCCTTCCAGGCTGCCAGGCCAGCAATGTTCCTTTCACAGTACCCTTGACTGAGCTCCTGCAATTCCCTGCTTACCTGGGTCCTGACCAGCTGCCTGCATGCTTGCTCAGCCTGCAGCTGGAGGCTTTCCTGGAGCTGCTGAGTCTTGCACTGTTCCTCTCTCAAGGTGTTCTGCAGCTGCTCAAACTGCTTCTTTGGCACCATGTTGTTTATCTGGGCCTTGGCCTGCTGCAACTGCAGAGTGTGCTGGGCCTGGGCCAGGCTCAGGTTGGCTTTGGCTTCCAAAAGCTGTAACACAGAAAGGTTGACAGCTGGTTACAGCTTTGAGCCAATAACAGGACAGGCCCAGGCTGTGTTTTGGGAGAGAGGAGATATTAAATAGTGCCCCTCACCTCAGCTATCACCCCAGCATGGGCACAGCAGAGCTGCGGGACCATGGCAGTGGTGCTCACTGGGCAGCAGCAAAGCCAGGGAGTGGGAGCACTGAGAGCTGCAGGAGGAGAAACAGAGACCCTTTGCTGAGAGGTGCTCCCCTTGCTGAGGAGCAGGAGTTGCTAAGGCATTCTCTGGGAGGGAGTCCCAGCACCAAGGGCCACAAAGGCAAGAGTTACAAGAGGGGGCTGCTCACTTGGCTTCTTGGATACATCCCAGGCTAGCTGTGACGTACTAAATGTCCTGTACTACACGTCCTCTGCTTCCTGTCACCAGCAAAGGGCAGAACTGGTAATGGGAAGCAAATCTGGTCCAACTTTGCACTAGGGCTGCCTAGGGATAGCTGGCATGGGTAAGCTGTACCTTGGAAAGCCAGTCCCCAGGGTAGAGGAATATTAACACATTGGAAGGTTTCTCCCATTGGCTTTCCTCTCTCTGTCCTAGTGACCCACGTTACTCTGCTCTAACCACCTCATTTCCCATCCCTCCACATGCCCTGCCTGGCTGCTGTTATCCATTGGCAGCCCTTATCCAGTGCTACCACTGCTCCAGCTCCTCTGTCAGCTGAGCCACAGGGAGCCACAGCTCCTGGCACCCCTGTGTGAGCCACCCCCACTCAGCCCCCATCCCCTCTGCCCAGCCAGCCTGCACAGGACAAAGACAGGGGGGTGTCACAGGGACAAGCAAGCAAGGACCTCTCTGCAACTGCACCTGAACTGGCTTCAGCCATATCTGAGCAGGAGGGAGAATCCTTTGTTCCCCACAAAACAGGACGAGGACAACTTTTAACTGCCTGGGGAGGGTGTCCAGCACAGCCCCAGGCAGGACAATACCAACGTCACAGAGACCACTCAGCAGCCTGCCACCAAATGAAGGACACTCACCTTTTCCTGTGAGGCCTGGAGCTGCTGTTGGAGCAGCTCCATCTCCATCCAACATGCTGCATGCCTCTGGTGGTGCTCCAGCCTTGCAGCAATCTCTGCTCCTTGCAGCCACTCAGCCTCCAGAAGGCTCTGGCTCTGCAGCTGGGCAGTGCCAGGGCCATGGCTGTGACCAAACTTGTGCTCAGGGGGTTCACAGCCCAGCTGAGGCATCTTGACATCCGGGTGACAGAGCTCCTCCTTGCCTTTCTCACTCTGGAAAAGGTTGAGAAAAGAAACAACAAATCATGCACAGGAGGCTTGGGTGGGAACACAGGCAACAAAGACTGATTGAGCCATGTGGGTTTGGGCCTGGGAGTGAGAGAAATCTCGGGGAGAAAGAGTCAAAGAAGTGAAAGTCATTCAGACATTAAAGACTCCCCTTCTGTAAGACTTTCAATGTCACACAAGTTTTTATTGCTTTACAAGTTATAAGATGAAGCTGGTTCTTCGAAGGAAGACTGGGTTTGAATGTTTGAAGCAAACATTTTTGCTCTCCTCTGTGAACATGTGTAGTTTTTGCCCTTCTAAATCCTTCAGCCAAGAGCCTGGGTTAATGGCTTCTTACCAATGCTGTTAATTCTGCTATTTCAGCCAGCTCCTCCAACTTCTCTCTACCCAACTCACTCCCATTTTTCCTGCTGGGAAGAGGGAGAGGATCAGCTTCAGACCAGAGAGCAGCAAAGCACAGCTCCCCAGAGGAGAGTCCTGTTTTGGGTAGTGCCACATCTGGTTTTGGCCTGCAACAAGAAGCCAAAACAGACATAGCCCTGAATTGATGGAGGAGTGAGTCAGGTGCCTCTGCCCCAGCAGGTGACTCAGCCCAGCCCAGCTCAGGGCAGGCAGCCTGGGACATCCAAAGTCCTGCAACACTGTCAGAGGCCTAAAAGCCAAGGGGTGAAGAACAATGGGAGGGACAGTTAAATAGTCTAGGATCATCCACACCAGAAAGCTGTCTCCCCCCAGATTTATGGCTCAGTGGGTGACCCCAGTACCTATCTAAAGCTTCCTAAAGAAGAAATCCATCCCATGTTAATTCTTCAGCAAGCTGCTCTCCAGCAGCCAGCACAGGCCTCCTGTGCAGGGAGAGACAGCAGAGTGAGAAAACCATGCACAAGCCCTGCTTACTCTGGCATTCTGTGCCAGCTCCCTGAAGATCAGGGATTTGGTTTCCAATGACAGCAAGGACTAAAGAAAACTGAGAAAAAACCTTCCCATAACTCAGGCAAAACATGTGGGGACAATCAAGAGACAACAGTAGAGAAGGAGCAGGTCTCACATCCATCACATCTTTTCCAGCAACTCTGAAAGCTTCCCACTGCAGCCAGTCCATCGTGTATTCCTGTTATATGGGTTTGTTTCCCTGCTCTACCACAGACTTCAGCCAAATCACTTCCTTTCTCCCTCACCTACACTGTATCTCAGCCCCAAAATACTGATAATGACCTAGCAAAAGCCACTGCTTGCATATTGCCAAGGGGAACACTGATCCTTAAGGGAGACACAGCAGGGCAGAGGCAGGAGGAAGGTAAGATAAACAGTTATTCAGTGACAACCTCTTTCTTTCACAAGCCAATCTCTTTTACCTATATGGAGAAATTTAGGACATTTTTTAGTGCTTTTAAGATAGCAAGTTGTGATCATCTAGCAAGTAGAGGCAAGTTTGCTGAAGGACCAAGAAAGAGGTAATAAGAAAACAATAATGAAAGCTCTTTTATATCTCTCACTATTTTAAGATACAGTCTTTGCTGGGCACTGCCTCTAACACAGCCTGGAAGAACATGCAGGGAAACTTAGTCTTGAAATAAAAGCACTCATGTAAGGGAGTTAGATGTCTCACTTCAAACTACTGCAGCCCAGCAATTCTGCCCAGGTTTTCTTCCAAATTAAAACAGCTCTCCAGCCGTGTGAAAAATCAGCCCAACCTACTCTGGTATGAGGAGATGCACCCCTAATCTCCTCCTTAGCTCCAGGAAGAGAACAGTGCCATATCTCAGGCTCAGTCTGTCCCTGTGCTGCATTATTTCTTCTCTGTCCTGGTCCAGCTGCTTGCCCTGGAAAATTTCTTCAGTGTGCTGCTGTCCCACACTGGCCTGTTCCATTTCAAACCTCTCCTCCAGCTCCAGGCTCCATTCCCATTTTGCTCTTTCAGCCCATTAATTATAGCCCAGTACTTTGCAACTGTTTCTTCAAGATCTCTTTCTGGTCTTCCATCTTGCACATCTCAGCCTTGAAACCTTCCTCACTGTCCTTCCTCTCCCTCTCAAAGTTTTTCCACATTAACTCTATTTCTTCCTCATAGTAATTTATCTCTTGGAAGGAGATAGGATTGGGATATTAACACCATGCTCCTGAGAGCTTTCCTCTCCTCCAATAGCTAAAATTCAGATTGATCTACTGATCCCACTCAACAAGGGACTCTCTTTAGGCAGTTCTGGTCCCTGCTGAACTTAGGACGACAATCAGTCTCATGCAGCAGTGTCTAACGAGCAGAAAACAGTGAGTCCTATTTCTTGCCAGCAAGCAGCACGGTTCTCCCCATTCTCCTTGTTTGCAAGGAGCCCCAGAGAGGAGAAGGGAGAGGCCAGGGCATCATCTGCCATGCTCTTCATATCCCTCCTCCACTGCAGAGTGGTTCCTTGTCAGGATGTGGTGGTGAGAAGCTGCTGCTCCCCCCAACTCCCCTGGGAACACCAGAAACTCCAGGATTTGATATGCACAAAGGCAGGATTATAAAGCAGGCAGAAGATCTGTAGGCAGCTTTGTGCTCCTTGAACTGCTCCATCACCTGCATGTCAGTTTAAGATTTTCTCACACAGTGCTGTAACACAAAACCCAGCATCACTGACCTCTCAGTTCAGCAGCAAAAGGAGTGAATGTGGAAACTGAGTCCTCTCCCACGAGCATTCACAGCTGTCTGAAGAGGAGGCTGGGCTCACACTGTCATCTCAGAGCAAGCAGCTTAGAAGTGTGCTGCAAGCCAAGGGTGACAGGGCTCTGATACAGCCCCTACCATCAGGAGACACCTGGCTGCTTCTCCTCCTGGTCATGTCCCTGGTTCTACTGCAACAACAACACTGAGTGATCTCTGGTTCCTCACAAGACCCACAAAAACATTTCACGAGGTGACAGTGATATCCACAGAGCCTTTGCCAGCCAGTGAGGCAAAGGCTCCAAACCCTCCTACCAGCTAAGACAAGCTGGAGAAGCACATGAAATAACCCCACGTGAGTGATGAGGCACATCCTGCTCCCCAGCCTGAACTCTCTCTCCAGCAACCCTGCTGGAGCAGATGTCTCATCAGTCATGCTGGAGCAGCTGTGCTTACCAAACAGCCAGGACATTCCTCCCCCGCCCCCCACTCACCTTGGTTTCCAGCTGCACCCTCAGGTCCTGCAGCTGCTCTTGGAGCTCCTCCACTGGGAGTGACATTTCTGTAAACACAGAAGTAGGAACAAGAAGGCTTGGAGAGAGGAGTGATGGCAGGGAGGAGCCCTGTGAGGGGAGGCCTACAAGACAGGACCGATCAGGATGGCTGTAGCTTCATCCAGTCCATACAACCCCAAAAGATGCGACATTCCCCATCTCTTGGGCAACTAGTCCCAGAGCTGCATCATCCCTCTTAGCCAAAAGCTTTTACCTAATGCTCAACTTGAATTTTCCAATCCACAGTTTGGGGCTACTTCCTCTTTTTATTGCATTGTTTCCTCAGCATCTTCAACACTGAAAATCTGCCAGTTCACCCATAGCTGCCTAGTTCACAGGTTCCATCAGCAGCTCTCAGGTTGGAAAACCCTCCTCTCCTCCATCTCCCTCCTCCCCACGATCCACCTTCTCCTTCTTCCCTCTCAGTACCACAACTGGCAGCAGCAGTTCAGGCACAAGAAGCCTCCCCACGTTCCCCTGCAAACTTGGGTCCAGAGGGAACTTTGCTGGTGCTGAGAGGATCACCTGCTGCTGGCAGCGCTCCCTCAGCCCTGCTCTCCTGCAGCTGCAGGCGCAGCCTTTGCAGCTCCCTTCGCAGCGCTCTGTTCTGGTCGTGCAGCACCTGAAACAAACACTGCTCAGGACACAGGGCAAAGCTCCTCCAAAGCTCCTGGCAGGGCCTCCCACAGCCACAACACAGCCTTCCCAAACAAAGGATGACATTAGAGAATTTGGAGAAGCCAAAGAAGAAGCATAAACCCAGATTTCCAAGATCACCATCACTACACACTGTAAAGCACAAAGCAACTGTCCAGAATGCAAAAGCACACAAAACCAGGGGGTTTGCCAACACCTCAGGGGGCTGGGCCTCCTGAGACCCTCCTGACCTAAATAACCATTAGGAGAATCCAACACAGAAGAAACATCATGATCTCAGCATGAGCCCAAAGTTTTGTGTTTCCATCCTCAAGATCTCTTGTGGGCACACGGGCTGGCCAACAAGCAATGCTCTATGCAGAGAAGGCAACCAGCAGGAGTCACAGTGAAGCAAAGCCCACAGGCCTCTGGGAGGGAACATTTCCAGGTAGCAGAAGGAATAAAACAAGGGAGGAAGGTGCTGATCCCATGCGAAGCACAGCACGAGGCAGGTCCTGCCGGTCCCCTGGTGCCACAGACATCCCAAGGCCAACACAGTTTATCCCATCTCCATCAGCAAGGAGTCCCTGAACACCAAGAAATGAGCCACCACACCAGTGCAATGAGCCACTTCCATGGAGGTGTCTGGAGGTGGGCAGCTGCTTGCTTCACTTCACATCCTCTATCCTATACTGGAAGCAACAGCATCATGCCTTCTTCTGGACTGTCCACTTTGAGCAGACATCCAATTACATCCCACATCCGGCTACCCAGGAAACTGATGTGCTGCAAGAGCCTACAAACTAGGACACTTCCAGGTAACAAATACTACTGAGCAGATGTGGACAAATGCAAACCCAGTTTGTTTCATCTCCACTGTAAACAGGAAAGGGGGACTGAGAGCATTCAACGAGGGTAAAGGACAAACCCCAGTGGGTGCCTTCAGAGGGGCAGATGAAGCCTGAAGGTCAAACCTTCCATCCATTAGCATTCTCATGGACAACTCTGTGGCTGCTCAAGGAGAGGCAAAATTGCAGCACTGAGCATATTCAGCCTTCTGGTGCCACCTGGAGCAATGCTGCATTGGATAGTGCTTCAGAATGTTTGCCTTTAATTACAGCTTGGAGGAGGGCTGCCTGATGCATGCACAGAATGGCTTTGCTCAAAGTCTGCATTTCAGCCCTTGCTGGGGGGATGTGACTGTCACTGTCCCTGCTCAGGGGTGCTCCCCAGCCACACACACAGCATGTAGGAACAAACAGGCAATGTGACAAGCACAGGACTCAAAGAACACAGCACCCATCACAAGTTAAAGATACACAAGTTCAAAATGCAAGATACACACATTAAAAATGAGAGAAGGGAAACAGAGTTTGTGCTCATGCCTCAGAGAACCCCAAGCTCTGGGAAGGAGCACAGATACAGCACCAGTTTTGGACCACATACACACCCCAGGTATCTGGACTGGCTTACCTTGACTCTCTAGCAGAGTCCAAGATTTGGGTTTTTTTAAAAGTGGGGGTAGGAAGGAAGGGAGAAACAAAAAGATAGAAGACTTTAGCTGTTAATATGATTTCCAAATTAGGAGAACAGCTTTCTCCTTATGCTCATAAGAAATCCAACAGAGCCCAGGGTCTGTCCTTAACGACAGAGGTACATGGTTTCCTAACAAAATAGTCCATGGCTGCAAGTGGGAAGGAATTTATGATCCACCCCGACTCTCTCCTGCCAAAATCCTGGCAAGGCAAACAACCCATGGAGTCTTCAGGATTGAGGAGACAGAACTGAGGAAGGTAAGAGGGATGCCTCTGCCCTATGACCAGGTCTGCCTCCTTCCCCTCCGTCAGGCCAAAGAGCCCAAGAGCTGTGCTGCAGGGAGCAGCAGCAACGCTGCCCGCGCGTACCTGGCACTGCCGCTCGTACTCCAGGACGATCTCGGCAAAGCGCTCACTCTGCTTCAGGAACTCTGGGCTGTGGGGCTCCCCCTGCTCCAGCTGCACGAGAAAACACTTTTCATCAAGAAAATCACCTCCAAATGGAGAGTCAAAAGCTCTGCTAATTCACTGGGATCAGCTGCTACACCCACACATTCAACAGAAGGCTCCCTAAGGGGCCCATCACCTGTGGGATGGGTCAGAATGGGGAGGAAAAGCATTTTTCTCCACATGTGAGACACCAAACTACAGGCAGGCTTTCCTGGCTAACAAGATCACAAACTCAGTTCCTTCCCCAGATTCATTTTAGGAGTGGAAGATACTAAAACAAACCCTTTACTTCAATACTAGTGAAAAATAAAACTTTTCTGGAAACTAAACTCTATAAAAATTTTCCCTTGAAGACTGCAGATTTGCAGAATTGTCTACAACTGGAAACTTTCCTCACACCTTTTTTTTTTTCCCCAGCTTCTAGGTTGTCATTAAAGCACAGGAGAGCTCACACAGGAGGACACCATAGAAACTGACACAAAATATGCAAGATCAAATGTTTTATGAATTTCTGAAAAGTTATTTGACTCAACAGAGAAAGGTTACCTTATCCTTCACAATGTGGTTGAGTTCTTTTTGCAGCTCCAACACCATTTCCTCAGAGGCTGACAGCTTCTCAGCCATCTCTGTGACCTTGTTTTGTAGCTGTGTGTTCTCCTGCAGATAAAATTGAGATTTCCCTGAGGCAGTGGGTCCTGATACGGCAGGGTGGGCTTTTCAGCCACAGGTCCTCAGCACGGACAGGATGACAGTAAAACAACTGGCACACCAACAGGCCAAACACAGCACAGCTCCCAGGAGACCCTGGACATGGCCTGGTTTTGGCCAGGACAGGGTTGGTTTTTGCAGTGACCAGGAGGGGATGTGGCTAAGGCCCAGATGTTATTCTGTACCACCTCATTCATTGCTGGGGACAGAGGGAAGGCACTCTCTCTCAGTTCCAGGGAGAAGGAGATGCCTTCCAGAGAAAATGTGGCTAGTCTGCAATGAGCATTTTGTTTGTAAATCACTCTCTCTTTTGTAAACTTTTGTTGCTAATATTTTTGCTGTCACTGGTTGTTTCTTATCTCACTGCTGTTTCCAGTAAATTGTGCTTATCTTGACCCATGGTATTTTCCTTTTGTGCCTCCCATTCTCCTCTCCAGCCACTGAAAAGTGGGGAGAGGGAGTGAGCAAGCAGCAGTGTGGTTTGGGGAGTCTTGGTAAGAGAACAAAATTGGGGAGCGCCACTCCTAAACCACGACAGGAAGCACATTGCTGATACCACATGGGCTCATCTCTCCAAAGGACAGGAGTGGGTTTTGCACAGTAAGAGCTAGACAGCCCCACAGATCATCTCTACCTCTGCTCCCCAAAATTGTGCTTTCCCTCACAGCTAACAAAGGCAGCAAGTCCTGAGCTATCTCCATCTGTACTTCTACATTGACCAGAACTGTGGCAATCCCAGGCATGCACACACCATCATCTCTGCCGTTGACATGGTCCCTGGCACAATTTTAGCTTTGGTCACTGTGTTTTAGGTGTTACCAAGGGCCAAATCACTGCCAACAGACAACACAGCAGTTTAGTAATGGCATGGAAAGGTAACAAGCTCTGTATTTAATGCAACTGTATGGATGTGGCTGATGATTCTTCTGCATAAAATTTCTGTTATTCCCAACAAGAGCAAAGTGAACCATCTATATTTGTCACCACCCCTGCTTTTCCACCTCTGAAAGAGAGAAGGTGTTTAATCCAAGGCAGCTGTACTTACATTCATCACATGGTTGAGTCTCCCTTGCAGGTTGGCCTCTTTGCCCTGGAGGAGCCGTGTAGCAGCCTCCAGCTTTGCCTGGTGACTCACTGCTTGCTGCAAAAGCAGCTCTTTTGCCTCCATTTCTGCCTGAAAATTCCTGGGGCAAAAAAGCAACACGGTTGGGACAGACAGAGCATGTTCCTGGATGGCCACAAGCAGGAGATGAGAGCTTTGTTGGAAGGATGCCGAGATCACAGGGGTGGAGAGGGGTCTTCAAGGACTTTCCTGCCACTGACACATTGGCAAAACGAGTGGGAGATTCAAAAGGGATGTGTAGGCACATTTTCTCCACCCCACCAAAAGAAGCCCTCCTACCTGAGCTTGCTCTGGGTGTGCTCCAGAGCGATGCACTGCTCATCCAGCTCCCTGCCCAGCTGCTGGCAGTGTCTCTCTGCCTTCTCCAAACCAAGCCTCGCCTTGTCCCTCTCCCTGGCGATCTGCCTCACCTGGCTCCTGCAGACACATCGAGCAGGGCATGAAGAGACCCCTCAGGCAGCCCACAGAAGGGCCCTCAGGGAAGCAGAGCCCCTACCAGAGGCACTGCAGTTTGTATCTGTAGGAGGTGCCAGCTGCATGCTGGAGGCCACTGCTGGGGACCATGAGTGTGGTGTCCAAAGCTGCAGGCAGCCCTGCAGGCTCTCCTGCTCCTCCGTGCTGCTGCTCCGCCTCTGCAATGACAGACTGAGATCACTTCCTCCCTCTTCTAACAGTTCCAGCAGCATTTCTGTTGTCACACCATCTGACCACCCTCCAGTCTTCCAGGGATGCCCCCCCATCTCACAGATAAGCCTAGATCACATCCACCCCCACATTCCCTCAGCTCTGGGGTGACCAAACCCATCCTGAACCTGGCTGCAAGCGCTTCTCCCACCCTGGGCAGTTGCTCACGTCACCCACCACCACTGATCCAGGCAGAACCAGGGACCCTGAGGATCTCCTCTAAGTCCTTCCAGGGCTCAGGTGGCAATGACAAGTTGAGGCTCGGCAAATCCAGCGTCTTTGCTGAGGCTGGAGAAGTGATGTGGGCCCAGGTAGCTTGGCCAGAAGGACAGGCTGCTTCCTCTGATGCTGAGGAAAAAAACAGCAGGAATAAGTCAGTGGGGCCAAACTGATGGTTTTCAATACCAAAGGGAAGCTTCAGAGATCAAATCAATACTGAAGAACATTTTAGAAACAACCCCAGGCTGCCAGGAGGGAGATGTCCTGAGCTACCCTCCTGGCAGCTACAAGAGCCAGTTTGCAGGCCCAGGCCATTCAGTTTGGCCTCCTTGCTGACCCATCAACACCCAGAATCCACAGAAAGGCCAGCACTGAAAGCTGTATCACTTACAGGGTCTTGTGAAAACTGTCAGGTGGGGACTGACAACCAACATTTTATTTGAACAAAGAGCAGAACCCAGAAAGCTGATACAGAACTCACAACATTTCCAAAAGCACCAATTTTGTACCAAGTTTGGAAGAAGCCAGTCTTCAGAGAGCTGTTACCTCAAAGTCTTAAGCCAAAAGAATGACTTTTTTTTTTTTTTTTGGTCAGGATCCTGGATTGAGCTGTCCTGGCTGTCAGGGTAAGCAGAGATTCACTTCCAACTTAGTACGTTCATGTGGTGTTACTTCAAAAGCAAATGCCCTGCCAGTCCTTGGATCTGAATACACTAAGGAGAAAGAAGTATTTTACATCAAACAAACAAACAAAAGTGGATGAAGCTTGTCCATGCACTAAAAAGAGGACAATCTGTGTTACATGTGAGGTGCAGAGACATCAGCATTCCTGAAGTCAATATTAGAACTGGGGTGATGTTTTTTCCTCTCCTAGGATGTGCACCCCTCTCCATCCCATAAAAAGAACAGGCTCAACAGCCCCCTGTTGTCTTGTTTTACAATCCCACACCACTTAGGCAGGAATTGCTCCTTCTCAGGCAGTTCCCAAGGGAGCCTTTCAGTCACCACGCAGTGGCTCCAGTACAGACCACATCTAAAAACTGTCTTGCAGAACTCTCCCCAGGTCAGCACCCTCAGGTGCCTGACTGAATCCTGTGGAATCACCCATCTGTGAAAAGAAGTATCTTGGCCTGAATTATTCTCAGTAAAACCTGATCCTCCTTTTTTGTTTTTTTTTGGGGTTGGTTGGTTGGTGGGGGACCACGGGAAAATGGATGGAGAAACCCTTCTAAGTGTGTGATGTCTGGATTCCCTACAGGATTGCATTAAAGCATTAAACACGAACGAACTGTCCTGTGCAGGGGCCTGGCAAGGAATTAATTGCTCCTTACCCAAGGTTAGTGGAAATCACCTCACGGAGCTGCGGATCAAGGCCATCAACCAGAATCCTTTTTACAAACCTCATGCCACGGAGCCGCTGAGTCTTGGCTGCTTGGGAGGCACTGACATACCGTGGGAACGGGGCTATGCATCCCCGGGGACGCGGCACTGCAGCATCGGCTCGGCTCCGCTCGGCCCGGCCCGGCCCGGCTCGGCTCCGCTCAGCTCGGCTCCGCTCAGCTCGGCCCGGCCCGGCCCGGCCCAGTCGGGCTCCTGCGGGCTCCCCTCGGCCCCGCCGCCCCGCGCATGCGCCCGGGGGAAGCGGGAGGAGCGGCGCAGGAGGCCGCGGGAGCTGCCGGCGCCTCCTTGCCCAGCTCCTCCTGCCGTGCTGCGGCCAGTTCTGGGCTCCTCAGGGCGAGAAAGGCAGGGAGCTCCCGGCGAGGGTCCAGCGGAGTGTGACAGAGGTGATGATGGTAGCACTGACCTCCCCTCATGAGGGAAGGTGGAGGGGGCAGGGCCTGTTTAGTGTGGAGAGAAGACGGAGAGGGAACTCCCTCAGTACATGCAAATATCTCAAAGGCAGGCGCCATGAGGATGGTGCCAGGCTCTTTCCAGTGGCCATAAACTGAAACACGAGGTCCCACCTCAGGCGGGCGGAACAACTTTGCCGTGGGGGCAGCTAAAGGTCCCTCGCTCTCCGCAGTCGCTCCGGCCCGCCCGTGCCGCGCTCCCGCGCGCGCGCCCCGCCGCCCCCGCGCAGGCGCACGCGCGCGCCGCGCCCCGCGCCGCGGCCGCCCGCCCCGTGGCCGCGCAGGCGCAGAGGCGCGGCCGCGCAGGCGCAGAGGCGCAGGCGCAGAGGCGCGGCGGGCGCGCGGCGGGCGTTGTGCGGCCATGGCGGGGTCCGCGGGGTCCGCGGGCGGCTCGGCGCGGAAGCGCCTCATGAAGGAGGAGGACATGACCAAGGTGGAGTTCGAGACCAGCGAGGAGGTGGACGTGACGCCCACCTTCGACACCATGGGCCTGCGGGAGGACCTGCTGCGCGGCATCTACGCCTACGGTGGGCGGCGGAGTCGAACGAGGAAGGGCCGGGGGGCCGAGCTGAGGGCAGGGAGGGTGAGCTGAGGGCCGGGAGAGTGAGCTGAGGGCAGGGGGGCCCAGCTGAGGGCAGGGGGGCCCAGCTGAGGGCAGGGGGGCCCAGCTGAGGGCCGGGCGCGTTCGCGGGCCGGGGCAGGCCCGGATGCGGGGCCCGCCGTGACCGTGTCCCTTGGCCCCCGCAGGGTTCGAGAAGCCGTCGGCCATCCAGCAGCGAGCCATCAAGCAGATCATCAAGGGCAGGGACGTGATCGCCCAGTGAGTGCGGCCGGGCTGCGGCGGGGGATGCCGTGCACATTCCTCGAGGCTAGAGCGGGATCCGCTCCCGTGCGCCTGGGCCGGTGCCTGGCGGGATGTGGGGAGTGACCTGAAATGGCTGGGACACGGAGACAGGCTGGCCAGAGCAACTGTGGATGTCACGTCCTTGGAAAGGCCCAGGGCCAGGGGGCTTTACTTTCTGTAAAGTGCTGGATGGGACCCTGGGCAGCCTGGTCTAGTGGGAAGTGTCCCCTCCCATGGCAGGGTGGCGTATGGAGCTAGATGTTGTTTAATTCCCTTCCAATTCAAACTGTTCTGTGGTGTTATAATGTGACAAGCAAAACAAAGTTTATTAGGTTTAGTTACTGTAAAAAATATCTCTTAGAGACAAAGAAGGATATGCATCCCACTGAAAAAAATTCTTTCTTGCTCACTAGTGCAAATTACTAGCCTTGCAAATTGCATTGGCTTTACAAGTCATTTGCCTGTAAAAAAGTGTGTGTGGCAGATGGCAGAAAGTTAAAGTGCTGGTCTGATAAGGAGTGAAGGTGCCAGAGCTGGGGACCTTGGAGTGTTCTGTCCCTGGCATTGCAGTTCTCAAAGCTGCAGATCACGCTCTGATCATAACAACATAAACCCTTCGTTGGCACTGTTGAATTCTTTGCAGTGGAGGGGTGGGATGTGTTGAGATTGCCTGTGCTGTTTGTGCACACATGCAGAGTACTCACCAAACACGTTTTCTCAGGTCACAGTCGGGAACAGGGAAGACAGCAACATTCTCCATATCTGTTCTGCAGTGCCTGGATATACAGGTAAGCTCATAGCAGCACATGCTAAAAGTAATTCTTACTAGATCGCTGGTCTTCATCATGAAAGTGTGTTCTTTAAGAGTGAATTAATGAAGCTTTACTTCAAAGTCTTTTAATTACAGGCAGTAAACCTCAGACAGAATTCTGACTGAGAACTTCACCAAACTATAACAATTTAACTGTTAAAGCCAGTCTGGCAAAATAAGTTCAGATGACGTCTTGTAATGATAAAGTTGTCTTTAACAACTGACCTCTTTCACCTCTTAGGGCTAAGTTAATCCCTCAGCAAGCAGAATTGTCTTCAGACAGTCCTAATAGCATCACCAGCCTGTCTGGACAAGTGCCACACGTTGCACAGAATCAAATCTAGGTTTTTGACTGACAGCTGTTTGCTCTTGTTCTGCTCAGGGGCATAATGTCCGTCCAGTCGTTTTGGGGTATAAGTTGGATATGCAGATGCAATTGAATAAAAGGGTGATTTTCAGTGGCTGGGATTGTCACTCATCTGTCACTGTCGGGTGACATAAAAATTAAGGTTGCATGTTCTAAGTGGAAAAGACAGCTTTTGCTTTACTTCTGTAAAGTGCTCATAATACTTTTACAGGTGACACTTCAAAACTTTGTCTAGGAATCCTTGAGCAGTGCAAAGTGTTTATCTGAACCAAACACACAGGGCTGAAGGACTTGAGATTTGTTTCTATTTTGCAAGACATGTACACATTTTTTTTTTTTTTTTTTTAGCACAAAATTCTGTGCTAAATCCTTCAGCTGTGACACCTCACAGCTTCGATTCTGTGAGATCCATCACCTCTTCCATGCCTGGCTCTCTGGCTGGCCTGTGATTAACTTGCTTGTGATTCTGTGCTTTAACCAGGTTCGTGAGACCCAAGCCTTGATCCTGGCACCAACTCGGGAGCTGGCTGTGCAGATCCAGAAGGTAGGAGCATTTCCATCCTTGTCTGGAGAGCACTGGCAAGGCCCGGGGCCAGTGCTCTGGTGTTTCTCTAGCAGAGCTCAAAGCACAGCTTCCACTTTTTCTTTCTGTTCCCGAGAGAAATAGCAAAGTATCATCTGATACAGGGTCCTTTGCTCCTCAGTGTTACATTCATTACTCTGGCAGTCTGAGGTTTTGCACAGCCCTGAGTTTTTAAGGTCAGCGCTTCTAAAGCAGTTGTGATCCCTGAGGAACTGAGTTCCCAGTGTTTTAAGGCCGCTGCTGTGGCGATTTGGGTACCAGACGTTACAGGAATCCTTGTGCTGCCATCTCTTTAGAAAGCCCACGTTGTGGCTGCACAGGCCAGCATCTCCTCACAAGTGTGGCCTGGGGAGAGCCGGGCAGTGAGGCCGTGTCTTTGTGCCCTGACAGGGCCTTCTCGCCCTGGGAGACTACATGAACGTGCAGTGCCACGCCTGCATCGGGGGCACCAACGTGGGCGAGGATATCCGCAAGCTGGACTACGGGCAGCACGTGGTGGCTGGCACTCCAGGCCGGGTGTTCGGTAAGGGAATCCTGACCTTACTGTAACACGGAGGTGAGGTGTGACAGGGTAACAACTTACTGCTGTTGTGAAAACTAGAGGGAAATTAGTGCTGGTGGGGTTTTTATTTTCTCTCTTTAGGCTTTGCTTTCCATTGTTGAGGTGACTCTTTATGTGGTGGCTTTGGAAAAAGGAGAAAGTATTACAGTCCCTGAATCTTCAAGGGGATAGGAGCCATGCCTACATGAATGCCAAAATTAAACCCACATTTTCTGTGCACTGGTGGTTGCTCCATCTTTCTTAGATCAGGTGCACTTGCAGCTGGTACCTTCTGGTTCCACCGCAGGAAGAGTTCAACATTTGCTGTTCGTGGCAGTTACTACAGGGGTAATGTTGGCCTTCAAGCTCCCATCTTCTGTGTGTCTGAGAAACACACAGCACTTAACAAGTCCCTGTCACTGGGAGAACGTGAACTGGTCCCCACGAGGGGATAAAACACCACCAAAAATTAGCAGCTGCCTAACGGCTGACTCTCAAACAGGATTTGTGGATTCTGTTGACATAAAGTTCACCTGGCGTTTTGTGCTTCTCACATCTGTCCCTCCTCCACCAAAATGCCCTGACAGTGGTGGGGCTCACTTGCTTTCAGAGCATTCTCATCTCAAAGTGAAATCTTACAGATATGATTCGTCGCAGAAGTCTAAGAACTCGTGCCATCAAAATGCTGGTTTTGGATGAGGCAGATGAAATGCTCAATAAAGGTAAAAACATTTGTCTCCCTTCTACTTCCTTTGTCCTTGCTTCTTTATGATTCTAGGGTGTCCCAGCTGGCAGGCCCACTTCTAAAAGTTAAAGTTTAAAAAGTTAGACTATTACAGTTAGCTGTAGGCTGTAGTAGGTTAAGCTACACAGCATGCCTTGTCTGATGTTACCGATTCACACATTTATGTTCATGACCCAGTGCTGAATTCCAGATCAGATTGTGGAAGAGGAGGATATTTGGGAGAGGGATGTGCTAACTGTTCTGTGTGGCTTGACTTGCACTGCAGGCTTCAAGGAGCAGATTTATGATGTGTACAGATACCTGCCTCCAGCCACACAGGTGGTTCTGATCAGCGCCACTTTGCCACATGAAATCTTGGAAATGACCAACAAATTCATGACAGACCCCATCCGCATCCTGGTGAAACGGTCAGTGAGTTTCCTTGGGAGAGAACAGGGACTCTGAGTTGGTCCAGCCCTGGGTTGTTCACAGTATTAAGTGATCTAAATGTATGAGAGTCTCTCATGTTCCTTCTCGCCGTCCCTGAGTGTCTGCAGAGGTGCTCGTGTTCTGCTTTCCAGCAGGGGCTGACTTATCTCCCTGACTTTATCCTTGTCCAGTTCTGTGTGCTGCTGCTCAGCCTGGCTGTCCCTCATTCTCCCCATGGATAGCAGTCTCTCCTCATGGAAATCTGTCTTCACACTTACCCAATTCCTGGGCTCCTCAGAGGATTTTTTTAGGCTTCCTGTTAAAATTTCCTGTTACACAGCAGGCAAAAAAACCCTTTAGCCAACTGATCCTGGGTGTTCTTGGAGGCACAGTTTACATCTGGTGGTGTCGCAGGTCCTTGTGCACTGGGACTTGGGAGGAGCATCCCTCTTGCCTGAGCTCTTGCACTGCCCATTTAGTACATTCGGTCTTCTCGAGACTTTCTTCAGTCTCTCTTGTCAAGAAGCTGAAATGTAAAAATGATGAGAACAGAGATGTTCCCCTTTGGAGTGGGCTGGAGCAGAGCAGTTCCAGTCTCTGCTGAATGGGTCACATTCAGGGCCCTTCTTAAAGCTGAGTTTTCTCAGGACTTTTTGAACAACTTGGACTCCATCTGGACCAGTAAACCACAGCGCACAGGCAGAGGGATGGTCTCTGGTGAAGCACACCCAGCCCTTCTGACTGCTTGTGGTTTTCTTCCCTGCAGTGATGAGTTGACCCTCGAAGGAATCAAGCAGTTTTTTGTGGCTGTGGAGAGAGAGGAGTGGAAGTTTGACACCCTGTGTGATCTCTACGACACGCTGACCATCACCCAGGCTGTCATCTTTTGTAACACCAAGAGAAAGGTACAGGGGCCATCAGAGGGGCTTGGTGCTTCCCGAGGGTGACTCAAACAGTGCTGGGTTAGTTAAGAGGTCTGGTTGCTCTCCCATTTGGAAATAGTTCTGTAAGACCATAGGTTAAACCTTTGGGGATGTATCTAACTTAAAACAACAGAGGCAGACCTGATACAGGTGACATGAATTGCCTTTTTTAGATAAGTAAGAATGTGCTCAGTTTAACTGCTTATAATTCCTGGAGCAAACCCACACTTCCTGATAAATGCTTTGTTCCTTTCAGGGCTTGTGGAGCCCAGTATCATACAGCTGATGCTTTGTAAGGATTATTTACTTACCTTAGCTTCAGAATGCTTGTGGAAGTGTCTCAGTCCCTACCAGTTAATCTCAGCAAATGTTCAGGAGATCAGTTGCTGTGTTTGGCTGTCTGAGCAAAGAGCTAACCCAGGCTGTGTTCACAGGTCGACTGGCTCACAGAGAAGATGAGGGAAGCCAACTTCACAGTTTCCTCCATGCATGGGGACATGCCCCAAAAGGAGAGAGAGTCCATCATGAAAGAGTTCAGATCTGGCGCAAGGTAAACACCCCAGATAGCATTCCTTACATCAGTGCTGCCTCAGGGCAGGGAAGCCATAATAGTTCTGTGTCAAGGCTTTGTTCAGCTCAGATTAAGGAGAATTCTTGATTTCCATCTATCTCCTGTGGTGTGGAAGGGTTGAGAGATTGCCACTTTCCAAGGAGGGATACTCGTACCTATAGAATTAGTCTCTACTGTCTTGATGAAGAAGTTGGGAGTTGCTGCATTTAAAATTCAAGGAAAAGTGTTCATGCTCCATCCTCAATATCTGAAACACTTGGGAACATTATCCCTTCTGAAAGACCCAAGCTGCGTTGGTCCTGTCTTGGCTGAAGTTTGGTGATAGTGCAAGGGACAGCTTTACATGCAGCAGAAGTATGAACACTGCTGGTGTGCTGTGGGCAGGGGGGAGCATGGAATAGCAGGGGATGCTCTGTGCTGGAGACTGGCTTCCCAGAAAAGTAACTAACTGTGCCCTTGTCTTTGCAGCCGAGTTCTTATTTCCACAGACGTTTGGGCTCGGGGCCTGGATGTGCCTCAGGTGTCGCTGATCATTAACTACGACCTGCCCAACAACAGAGAGCTCTACATACACAGGTGGGCTGGGGCTTCCCACGGGCCGCTGGGGCTGGGGGCAGCCTTCCCACAGCAGCTCCATTCCCTCTTCCCTCGTGCCTCCGCAGAATCGGCCGCTCGGGCAGGTACGGCCGGAAAGGCGTCGCCATCAACTTTGTGAAGAACGACGACATCCGCATCCTGCGGGACATCGAGCAGTACTACTCCACCCAGATCGATGAGATGCCCATGAACGGTGCGTGCTGCCTGACCTGCTTCTCACCTGGGGAGAGCCTGGGAGCAGCAGTGTCCTGCTGGGCTGTGGCTCTCCACACACTCGGTTCTTACTTCTCATTCCTGCATTTTCTCTCGTTTCAGTTGCTGATCTTATCTGAAGGTCCGTGGTTAGCAGGAAGTTGTACCATTTGGTACCCTCCATAATTCTGATTTGGACCCACATCCTTTTATCGTACTTCTGGTCATACGTTCTTGAGTTGAGCGCGCTTGGGAACCTGTGTAAATATTATCTGTACTCCCACCCATGTTTTTCAATTAAAAAGGAAGTTTTACCATAACCTGTGCTTAATTACTTTAATCCAGCACAGTAACAGGCAGGGAGTTTTGAGATAACTGGCATACTTGGCTAGCATAATGAAACAGAAGACTGGACACTCCCCAGATCTGGGTTCATAGAATACAGGGCTTCCTGTTCTCTACCCTTCCGTTATTGCTGTGCCACGCCACCTGATGTACTCTTAGTTTCCTTAACTTAACCTTCAGGGATCAGACATTTACAGGAAAAATCTGTGGCCTGGCCTTAGCCTGCTGTAGGAAAATTTGAGTTATGAGATAGGCAGGAATTTCCTGCTGGTTATGTCTTTCCAGAGCCAGAAATCGCCACACATACTGCTCCAGATGAGGATTTCCCATCCCAAGGAACTTGGGCACGCACTTACAGAACAGAAGGATCAAGTATCCTGTCTTGTCACCTTCTCCACCTCTTTCTGCTGCTGTACCTAGTTACATCTGCCCTGTTACCTCTTTCTCTGGCATGATGCTGTACTTTGCCAGCTGTAGGATCTTCCATGTTCCTTTCCTACCTATGGGGTGTCCAAATCCCTGTGTCCCTTGTCCCACATCAAAATGGATGTGTCGAGCCCAGGCCTAGAACTGCTCCCACACCTGGCTCCAGGCCCCTTACCCTACTTGCTGGCTAAATCCAGCTTGCTGTCAAGTGACACAACCTCCCTCCAGGCTGCTGCTGCTCCAAACATGCAGCCCCTGGGACCCCAGGCACCATTCCAGTCCCTGGCACTTTGCCCTCTGCGCCCACCCAATGAAAGGGCAGAGTGAGGTGGGGTTAGCAGCCAACAAGGACAAGCACCAGCCATTTCCCACACCTGATTAAAAGGCGTCTTGACCCCTCCCCTACCTTCGATCCCTCCCACAAGCTCGAGGGGATTTTGCACCAACTTTGTGGCACAGTGTTCAGGAACTCTGCACCCACAAACCCAGAAGAAGAGTCCATATAAAGCCTCCCAAACTCCTTGTCCACGTGCTGAGCAGTTTTGCTTTTGCAATCTCCGCAAGGCACAGCCTCAAATCTGACTTGCACCTTCCTGGAGCCCACGAGCAGTGAGGGCAGGCGTGGCCCTGCGAGCCCCCGTGTGACTCATTTAACATTAATAAGAGATTAATCACCAAAGCACTGGCTTGTTTGAATAACAGTATTTAATCTGTACAGGTTGAGATATCATAAAATGCGACATTCCTACCTCATCTTTAGCATCATTCCCCTGGAGCTGAGCCCTCGCCTGCGAGCGCAGGTAACCACCACTCCCCAGCAGTTCTTCGCAGTGCAAGAGTCACAGTGCAATTGCTTTAGTCCTAGACAGATGATTTCCCTCACTCAAGAGAGGGGAGATGTTAAAGCTCAAATGTTGATGAAAATTGTTACCATTTAGGAATGCAAAAAACCCAGCTATTGCACACAGCCATTTCCAGCTGAAAATACAGCAGTTAATTGTTTAGCTGCCTTTACACTCCACACAGTTGATACTGATTTAGCCAAGAATGAAAGTAAAGCCAGTAACAAGATTTCAGAGTGATACAGTTGCTGGAGGGCAGAATCTGACAAGCAACTCCACAAGTCAAAAGCGTGCTTAAGAACAGCAGGAGGTTTTCCTATACAGGGAGGGGGTAGGAGCTGGACAGAGGTCACCTTCCAGAAACAAGCATGAGAGGAACATCGGCTTCAATAGAAAGCTATGAAGTACAATAGAACAAATCTGTTCATATAATTGTCAGGATAAGTATTTGACATAGCTTATGTAGTAGAATACAATACTTGAACATCTTTTAAAAATAAGCACTGATTTCATTTAATATATACACAACTGATTTTAATCATGTACTGAAAATAAATTACAGGAAATAACTTTAAAATGCAACAGAAGACAAGAGTTTCACAACAAACATTCCCATTGATTTTTCCAAGGGGGTGAGAGATTGCAGTGCTCAAGGCAGGTAAATATCACAAATATATCAAAAAACTTCAAATTGTTGATGCAGTCACACATTTACATGAGCCACAAACATTCCTTTACAGGAACTGCACTTAGCTACCACAGAACCAGGTTTTGCCATAAACTACAAAACTTTGATACAAAATCGTATTTATATATTTATATTTCATATACATGCCCTATCTGTGATTTCTTAAAAAATAAAAACTAAACACACTGTACAGACAATCCTAACTCATTGCTTGGTAGCTGTAGGCAACATTTTTGGATGGAATTTCTTCCCCAGTAGAATTAATGGCAATATTATATACATGAAGGCTAAACTGCAGAAAAAGACAGCTCAGTTCCAATACGCACCTCCCTCGGGACCAGGTCTGCGAGTTCAAGGCAAGCCACCCTCTGTGCTGAGGCACTGCCTCCCTGACAGCCCAGGTCTGCGTGAGGAGCCAGCACATGCACCTGTGTAACACTGGTAAAGGCAAGAAAGCAAGAGACGCTGCAATGGAGCGGCTGCCGCGGTGCTCCGCCGGCCGGGCTGCGCGAGGAACGCGCTGGAGCCGGCGAGGGCGTGCCGAGCTGGGGACAGCGCTGTGACACTTCCCTGAAGGCAGCTGCTGCAGGGGCAGGCTGCCCCCGTCAACCTGGGGAAGCTCCCCTCCCTCCCCAACACGGGGCACCAGGACTATGTGTAAAACTGAGCCACTCCCTCCACCCCAGCGGGCTCCATGGCACCAGTTTGAGGAGCTGAGCACTGACAAACTTAACTCTTCCCCGGTGATGGCAGCAATCTGTGAAGCCAATCACACTAAACTACTTCTACAGTTGATTGTAAACTTTGGTTTATTTTTATTTATTTTTTTTTTATTACTGAGTTCTCATGGTACAGCAAGCATGTCTAGGATGAGAGGGCAGAGTTGAAGAGACGAACTGTCAGTCTGTCTTTAGTCTGGCATGGTGAGCCACCTGCTCGGTCAGGCCTGCTTTGATAGAGTTTTTTACAGACTGCCTCATATGATCCTCCATCAAATTATCACTCATGGGCTTCAACACCTGTGGAATGAGAAATGTGCAAAAGAAACAAGAAAATGAGGTAACCAAGGAAAGTAAGATATAAAATCATATAAAGAGATGAGACTTGAAATCATGAAAAAACTTAGAATGATGAAATCTGACACAAAGTGGCATGAACTGAAAGAGAAATGAATTTTGCTGCTAGAGTAATGAGGTTAAAGCAGTCACATGCTATGGACACAAGTGATACCCCTCCTACACAGCAGTATTTCACTGAATTCAAACCACTTTACAGTTCCTAGAAGATGGATGTGCAATTCCATACCCCATATGCAGCATCAGTCTGGTATGGTTACAGCATTTATGCAGACCGGCCCAGACAGTCCAGCTTATTGTCCTATATGTGTAAGTGTGAACACTTCAGATACAGAAAGAAAGTTAAAAATACTGGCTAGTTTTTCTTCTTGTTATTGTTGGATGAGAGTCGCTGTCGCGGCACTGATGTAAGAGCACGACGAACCGTTCGGCGTCTAAGGACTTCAAAGAGTTTGGAAAACACCTAAAACACGAAGTCAGCTGTTAGGGAAAATGACTCTCACAACATAGCAGAAACTCAATCAAGTTCAGAAAAAAAAAAAAAAAAACCTGATTGCCAGTAACTTCTCACCTTCCTGGGATTCCTCTGAAGCAAGGAGGGAAAAGAAAGGCAGAGATTCAGAAAAATCAACAGCAAGAATGAGTATTTAATCAAGAGTCACTCAGACAGGATCTGCAGTGCTTTGCATATGAGGGTGATGTGCAGCTCTAACAGCAACACTGCTGAGGTCTTTGGGAGACCACCTTCCTCCAGCCCACAAATGGCAAGCTCCTGCCAGCATAACCCAAGCTCTCCCCCAGGCCTTCTGTGCTTGGTATCCTGCAGCAGCAGCTCCAGTAGCACTGGAGAGCCTCAATTTTTATCAAGAGCTAGTGGTGCTAACTCAAGATTTAGTTACCGATTTATTTACTGATGCTCATTTAATCTCTTTTTGAAACCCACTTTTTCTGCTCCAGTGTAACTCAAAACCTGACTGGGACCCTCAGCAGGTTGCTCAGAAAGGCCTAGTGTACCAGTGCCTAGGATCAGTGCCAGGATCAGCCCTGAACATAGGAATTTTCCAGCTGTGGAAGCAAGCATCTGTGCAGAAGGCTCCAGTTAGTTACCTGCTCATGCCTCACAGGACAAACTTTAATGTCACCCCAGATAAGCTCAGTGCACCTTTTATTTCCAGTAACAACAACAGGAGAGTGCTTCCTTCTGCTGGCATTGGACAGAGCTAGTCAGAATGCTCCAAAAACTACTGGTCAGGAATTCTCTACATTGACCTTACTGGCACAGCTGTGTCAACTGGGTTCAGGCAGCAAAATCTCTATGCAGAGAGTTTCTCCTCCAGCTCTCTTGTCCTTACACTCACATCTTTTCTTTCAGGAATTTGCCGAGTATTCCTTGCAAACAGCAGTTGCACCCACTGAAGCTGTCACAGACAGCACAAGTTTCCCTGATGGACAAAACCTGTTGGGCAGCCTCTGGTAGCAGCTGCTGAAAGCCATCACTCAGCCATTTCTCTCCACAGACTAATCAATTCCTTGCTCTGCTAAGGAAAAAAGAGTTTTGAAGAGTCCCCTCTTTACCATCAAAGCACTTACTAAGTAACCTTCTGCACCTTAAGTAGCACTTCTTTGATAATATCCTAAGCTTATTTAACATTGCTTGTGTGCAGCATCTGTTCCTGAAGAGAGCAGTCACACTACTGAGCAGATTTTCCCTTTGGCAGCACTAGCATTCTCTATTAGGTCTAGACCAGCTTTTCCCTCTCAGCAACGAACAGAAACTGTTTGATACGTCTGCTCAAGACAGCAAGATTTTGCAATAAAAACAGATACCAACCTGTTCCCATATAGCTTCGGCGATCTGATCAATGGCTGTTCCAACTTCTCTGAATTCCCCAGAGTACTTAACGTATGCCCAAGTACAAAACGATATAAGAGCCATCCCCAGCACAAGGTTACACAGGGCAGCTATGGAGTTCATGCCAAGGAACCCAGTCAGTCCTGAGATTATGTACATGGCAAACATGACTGCAAACAGAGTGGCAGGGGTACGAGCAGCATAAAAGATGTTTTTGCCATCGTTGTGCTTCACGAAGTTTGCATAGATCTCTTCGATTTCCGCCTCCAGTTGCTCCTGGTAGCGCCGGCAGAACTCCTCCCCTCCCATCTTCTTGACGGAGCGGAAGTGCTGGATGGCGCTCTCCCGGAACTCCTGGTGCTTCCGCTCCAGGTCCGCCGGGGCGATGTACGGCTTGTCCCCCCCGCACACCTGCGGGAGAGCAGACCCCACGGTCACCCCCGAGCCCTGCTGCCCCTGCAGCGCCCACGAGCCCCGGCCCGTCCAGCGGGGCAGCCAAAGGGGTTTGGGATCCCGGCAGGGCGGGAGCCTCACCTGCCCAACCAGCACGGACCCGCCGCACAGGACTGAACTCCTACTTCTCTTCAGGCAAGCCCAGAAGGACAGCACAACAGCCACATGCACAACCCTGCTTTTTCCCAGAAAAAACTCCTCCACATCCACCAAAACTCCCTCGAAAATGCCTACCAATCTCGTCCTTCAGAACAGCTTTTTCACGTTGCCCAGAGCATGTTAAACACCAGGGGCCACTGAGGGATCAAGAGGCCACCACACAAATAACTACCACTGTTTTCTTGCACTCTGTGACACTGCACCTGTTGTTCCTTACATTTCACATCATTAGGGGGACAGTATTTTGGTTATGCACACTCAAAGGAGGGCTTTGGTTCACAAGGACAACTCAAAAGCTGCAGCAAGAACTACCTTTACATAATAAGAGTTTTAAATCCAAAGAGTTCCCACTTCTGCTCTTAAAAATAGAAGTTTCAGAGCTGTGTCAGATCGAGAACATCATATGAGACATCTGGATAAAAAACTATTCCATAATTTGTGCATATCTCTACAGTGATATAAAAATATACAGCACTGGGGAACATTACTATGGAAACAAAGTCTGTTTAAAAGAACATCTGTTTCTGTTTATTCCCTGCTCCAAGCTAGAAACCTTACAGCTACAGTATCTCAACAACCATTGAACATTCAAGTTTGGAAGGCAGCCTTGGCACTTATTATAAACAACACATTTACTATTTCAAGACATTTTCCAAAATGGAAAATAGAGGAGTTCCCTTAAACCAGCAGAACATTCTCCAAACAGCCTGCTAACAAATGGAACTGGCTTGTCTGCCACTAGCACTATGTTTTACTTTAACTTCAAAACAGCTACTTCAGCAATTAAGACCACAATTAGGCTCGTCAATGGGGAGCGATGTTTGTAGCATGTTCTCACACCTACTGGCCTTTCTGGTTGTACAGTTTCTCAATAAGCACGGTCCTGTTAAACTTTACAAGACGTGCAATGGTTTTCAGATTCTCCTATGATAAAACCTTGCATACCACTACATTAAAGGATGAAATCCGTCCAGCATTCAGGTTAGACTCATATAAGATCACCATCTTCAAAAGAAGAAGCAAGTCGGAAATTACATACACAGTTTTTCTAAGTAATTCTTGTATTCCAAGGGGTTTCTCTAAATTTTTGAATCACTTAAATCCTTGCATTTTACAGCTAATGAATGGCCACAGTTCAGAAGCATGAGACTACAGAACTAGAATTCCACTCCTGTGCAATCCTGACACAACAAATGTCTGCTCACGTGCTTGTAAAGATTTTGAGATGCCTGTCAAGCACCATAGAGGGAACTAACAGGTGGGAATCCTGCAAACACACTCATTTTCACACTCCCCAGCATCACACACCCAAGCTCAGAGCAGAGTGCAGAGAACACACAAGTCCTGGCCCTGAGTTACCCTCCCCCACTGAAGTGCTCACACACAGAGGGCAACATGGAAGCTCAAGGTCTGTATTTGCATGTAGGCTTTTAGGAAAGGTTGTGCCATCATACCTGCTCCATGCCTTTGCTGTACAAGTCTTTTGCTCCTGCCACAGCAGCAAGATTGTTCGCTTCAGCTGTTGCCTAGAAAACATGCAGCATGTGTGTCACTGACAGCATTCCCAGGTTTTACACAGCACTGCACTCCAAACATACCCCCCAAACCTCCAGAGCTCCTGATGGCCAGGAAAAGGCCACACACAAATAAGTGAAGTTTAGCAATATACATTAAAACATATTGCTGCCTTTCTTCAGCTTTCTAGCACAGCTGCAAACAAACCTCAGCCTGCTTGTACAGGCTTTTCATCATGAGCAATCTCTTCTAAATGCTCTACTGTTAATAAGCACATAAGGGTCACTAAACTATTACATTTTAATCCTGACACTGGATTACTTTCAGTACCTCAGAGGAAAGAAGGAAGCTCTTATTATTTCTACATTACAGATGCACAGTTTTGGTGTCAATCATAATTGTCAAGTTTTGTTAAGAATTTTAGACTTATTTTCTACCTGTGCAATGTCAGGGACAACTATTGTAGTTATAGCCGCAAGATGTCATTTTCTGGATATTTCCAGCAAGTTACAGGAAACCAATGTTTAGAGAGTAAAGCAGTTAAAAAACCCAACCAACCAGACAGATCAGACCCCAGCTCTATTTGGCTGATTTAATTTCATTTGGTTGATGAAACTGAGGGAAAAGTACCCAACCATCACAGTTCAGGTGGCTTTCAAAGTACACAGATCCATCAAGAACTACAGCTGTGAAGGGGAGCTTCAGGCCCACAGCAGTCACGATTCTTCAGTTGCAAAGAACTTATAAAGTACACATCATCTAATCAGATTTTTTGAAAGAAAATAAAATACCTGCAGCATAGATTTCGGATGAGGTAGCTCCTCTCCTTGATAGATTTTAATGTAAGCCTAAATGGGAAGGAAAAAACAAAAGGTTTATTTTTCTAAATATTCGTGCTTAAGGATAATCAGAAATGAGGGATGACAAAAAAAGCTCAGATTACTTCTCTGTAATAGTGCTAAATACAAAAAGATGTAATTTTCTTCATTAAAGTCTGGCATTTTTTCCCCCTTCTCTTTCCTGTGCCCGAGACTGGGGCCCAGCAGGGCAGCAGAGCACTTTGAGGAGACATCACCACTGTCCCAAGACATGACAGCTCTTGACAGCAGGTTTCTACTCCCTCAAATGCATTTCCTGGCTAAACAGGGAATCTTTACCTATACCAAAGAGTGGAGATGACTATCCCAGCCTGTCTGGCAAGAGGTCTGCCCAAACTCACCCCAGTGCTGGGAGAACCAATACTTACATTTCCCCACATGCCTTGGTCTACTGAAGTGTAGGAGGAAAGAAACCAGATCAAGGCACTACAGAGCTGAGCAAACAAACACTTGCAGAAGCTAAGCAGCCACCTATCCCGCTGTGCCTCACCCTGCTTATCCTCAGGCATCCTTTCTTTCCCCAGGGTTTCAGGGAAGAGAGCACACACTTCCTTTCTTGTGCAGCCCCAAGATGCTGGCCCATGCACACTCCTGGGACAGGGAAGTGGGGCACAGCAGGCAGCAGCAGCCATTCCAGTGCCTTGGACAAGCTGTGCAAGGTACAGCAGCAAGGCCACTCTCAGCCCTTGAGGAGCTGTCCTCACTCTCTTCACAGCACTGCTGCCTTCCCTCCCTGCCCTGTCTGCAAGCCTCGGGCCTGAGGATTTTCTGCTCAAAGGGAGGAGAGAACAAGGTTATCAGGGTCCCCATGTACTCAATGCTCTAGGTTGTAGAACAACCTACAAAAACATATAGAGTGATACAGGACTCCGTTCCCTTGACACCCTCCTTGCCTCTGTAGCTATTTCCTCCAAGTAAAAGCCCTACAGTTTCCAACTCCGGCCTCACAAGCTCAGCTGCAGATGCACAGTCCCAGGGGAGCAGTCCTCTTTAGTTACATAAGCATGGCATTTCTGCAGCACCCCACAGCACTGCTCCCCACCTGGATACAGGATGTGAATTGGCTTTCCAGGAGAGGCTTTACACTTGGGTTTTTAGGATGCAGTCCTTTCTAAGCTGCACCTGAACGTGCACTCCCTACACTGTATCTGAGATGGTCCTACCAGAGAAAAACTGGAGCAAAAGCAGCGTGCAGCCATGTAAACAGAGAGAGTGAAGCTCAGTGCTCCCGTGCTGATTTTGCACTTGTCAGAACAGCTATCACTTCTGCAGCCCATACCAAGTCTTTCCTTCCTAAAGTTACTTTGTTTTACAAGTGAAGTTAAATGAGCTTCGGTCTCAAATTCCTTCCTTGCATAGTTTGTTTCTTAACATCAGCCTAACTTTTCTACCCCAAAATTAGCAATGCAAAATTTCCTGTCTTTAGGAGACAGTGGCATCATTCCCACCAAGCCAACTGTTTAAGTCATTCCAATTAAAAAAAAAAAAAAATAAGGCTACACACACCAGGCTAATCCCTGGTGATGTAGATTATGTTATCACATTTCTGCTGGTGTCACCATGATACCAAAAAAGCTCAAGACTAACAGCTGTGAGTATCATACATAAATATTTCAGAGCACAGTGGTGCTATACATGCAAGTGTTTAGAAAGCACCCTCCTTGCATGTTAAAAATCCAGAGGGGAATATCTGAAATTTTCATTGCATGCTTAGCAGTTTAAGAGCTGCCTTTCTATCTGTAAAAACTACATAAGACCTACTTTAATTCAAAATAACAAAAACAAAACAAATATCCAACTGGTATTTAAAAGTACAAAAAAAAAATCTAATAAAACTTGAGATATTTCAGCCTATTCAGAGAGAGGGAAATAAAAGACACCAACCCACAAATTTTGCTAACAGTAGCTTGCAAAGAGCTGTACTGTTAGTAGTGCCAGTTCTGGAAAGTCAGAGTAATGAAATGAAAATAAAAGTGAGCTGATCAGTGAGCGTCAGCCTAGATATCTCATCTTCTTTGGGAACATCGTGGCCTAAATTTAGAATACTGTCTTTTAAGCTATTAACAGAAATAATTAGTATGAGTTTGCTTACCTTGAAGTATTCTACAAGATCTCTACAGGTCACCTTGGATCCACTAATCTCTTTTTCTACCAAGTTTTCAGGGGCAAGCAGTAATGGTACCAAATTCCGCAGCTCATTCTTAAAATCCTCATCTATATCTAGTAAAATTCAATCAATTTCAAGAAAAAGGTGGTTAGTTTTCAATCTTGTATCTCCCAAAGGAGCACTGTTAGCCCACAATCCTAAATCCACAGCATCACCACTCTGAACTGCATTTTTAAGCCTTTCAATATTTTAAGTGCATTTCCCCAGTTACAGCAATGCACAGTGAGCTCTCAGGTGTGTGCCCTCAGCACAGCAGGGCTGGCATCCCAGCACTGCAGCTCACTTTGACAGCCTTTGCCATTCTGAGGCATTGGAGGAATCCCGACTGCCTCTCCTCTGCAGGAGCAGAACCCCGCGGCTTTTACTGCAGCCGCTTCAGAGCTGACCTGTGGCTCAGCAAGCTCCTAGAGAAAAGCCTTTCCAGAAAGTAAAGTCTTTAATCTTGGGAATTCTGCCCTCTGGAGCCTCTTGTTATCTTTGGAATCTCTATTTAATGACCTTTAAGCACGTCTCAAGTTATCAGATTACAATGAACAGCTAGACACAAAGATATCCATTCCCTCTCCCTGCTTAATTCCTCTACTTTTAAGCCACTAAAAAGAACATACAATGCACATTTCTAAATTCTGCAACTTCACCTTTTAGCCTTATATTTTCCAGTCAGGCATTTCAATAGCTAACCATTACAGTGCTTAACTTCCATCACATAAGAAAACAAACTCAGTGATCTGAAGCAAGAAACGCAAAATGAAAAGCTTCCTACCATTCAATCTCCCATCAAAATTTGGATTTGTTGCAACTTTAAGACCAGGGTGGGGCAACAGGAAACACCCAAGATTACTGAAACAGGAGTGAATATGCTTCCTTACATTCTGTAGCTCTTCATGTTGGTTTTGCTTGACCTGAGGAGAAAAAAAGGCATTAAGAACTGCTACTAGTTTTACAGCACTGCAGTCAAGATTAACCATCATCATAAAAGCAGTAAAAGCACAGAAGAGTGTTTAAAGCTTTTATTCCTGAACCTAATAATGTCAACTTTGCCTATGAGTGGAAACACCACAAATGTATTTTATTAGCACAAGGAGCCAGCTCATGATGCATCATTGTCTTGACAGCAAGGTGTCACTTAGAAGATCAGAACAGGACTACCAGAGGTAACTTACCTGCAATCTTTTCTCTAGGAACTTTTTTCCTCCCTCCAAGCCATATGCATGTTCATATGGATAACTCCAATCTCTAATTAAGAACATTAATGTCTGCAACAGCAAGAACAACAGCAGTGAATGGTTTACATCATTCCTAAGGTCGAAAATTCTACCATATGTGTGATTAAGTATTTGGCTGCTCTAAAACTAAACATCTTATAGATTACAAGCAAAGATACTATGTAAGTTTTTTTTGTATATTTGGCTGTTCTAAATGTAGCAGCCTTGTAGTTATGTGGTGCAAGTGTTTTCTTGTTTAAAAAAACTAAACAGAACATCCACCACCAAACAGGACCTTTTCTCAGGTCTACCATCTACCACCAGCAAGGATCAACCATATCTCAGAGTAATAAAGAAGGCGGCAGCACAAAATTTTTCTCCTTAACACCTGCACATCACTTGACATCTTGATTCCTTTTATGCTTTATAATTCAAGCACAAAGCTATACTTGCCCAAAATGTGATCCCCTTTAGCATTTTTTCCATTGGGTTTTTGCAAAGCCAAGTGGCAATAGTGAAGGAAAATTAGTCTTGCAAAGAACTGGTTACCTTCAGCTCAACTAATTTATCTGCAGAAATTATCCTGAGCTCATTTCCTACACATTCAACTGCTTAAATCTATTTGACACACAGTTACCTGAAACGGCTTTTGGTAAACTTCTTCCATAGCTAGTCTTCCATACTCTGTAAACAACTGAGAGAAAGAGCAGTGTAAGGATTGCCACATAGAAAACACATCTGTCTGCTGTGAAATATTCTATTCTGTCACTAAAAAATAAAGCATTCAATCTTATATTTTACTAAAGGTTTCAATCTTATATCTCACTATAGGTTGAGAATGGCAAACAAACCTCAATAATGAGTATACCAACCCCCAATAAGATTCAGGTAGGAGACGTGATTCCCACAGGCTTCACAGTGCCATTCCTGAACTGTCAACACACTGCAGTTTTAAGTGGGTGGCTTGTGGGCTATTTTCAGAGAAAAGCTGGCTGCATTTCTCACCAAGCCAGCTTCCAACACTTGCTTCCTAGGTGAAGGAGGTAAGCCTCTCTAACATTTGCCCCTTACTTCCCACAAAAGGTTTATTCCTGGAAATCTCAGGGAACTTGGCTCTGGCCAATATATCAGACATTTAAATACAAGCCAAGTTCAGCAGCTTCTCAGATCTCAGCATCAGCTCATGACCTTAACTAATAATTGCTCCTTCCCTCCAGTATAAAGGCAAGTATCAGCTGTCTTCCTCTGACTGCTTTCCCCATCTTTAACACCAGCAGCAGCACTCCTTGCTGGCCTGAGCAGGCCAAACAACCCACAGGAATGGGAATTAGGGACTGTGCTGGCTGGTTCAGCACAGCTCAATACTGGCAGGGGTTGATCTGCCAGCCTCCTTACAGATACTGCAGGCTGAGGTGATGGAAGCCCACCAGAACTCTCCAGTACCAGGCAATCACTATTCTGCATTAAACTGACTCCTCAAGTGTCTCGGGTAAATGATGGCCCAAAGGGCAGTTCAGTGTTGATCACAAGAGCACCTGGGAACTCACAAGACTAATTCAACACAGCTTAACTTCCAAGCCCTTGTCCAACCCTGAGCAAAAGCAGCTGAGGGTTTCTTTGGCCCAAACTCTTTACCTCATTCACTTCCCTGCAAAATGCAAAAGGCAGTCGGAGACTAGCCATATTTCACAATTACATAAATTCCTGTTAAAAGAGAAATTTGGAATTTCATTCCCTCAGATCATGATTCTCTGCTGCAACTTTAAATGCATCGGTGTCCTCTACCCAGTGCTTGTATTTATCATCCTTCTCTTCCCTTCCTTCCTTCAAATCTCACCCTCCAGTAGAACAGAGATAGATTGTTTTATTCAGATTACACCAAGCCTGTTAAAGGACCAAAGTCTCGAGGGAAGCCTGGCTTTCAAATAATTACCTACAGATTTTTTGTTTTCACTGCTTGGTTGGGTTTTTTGGGGGGTGTAGGGGGTATGAGCCCAGTGATACAACCCTGCTAATTGAGAACAGCTTCATAAGACTACTTTCAGTTAGTGCTCCTCTACTTCCAGCATTGGCAGCCAGTCCGTTGTAGCACTGAAGACACACAGACCAGTTTTAAGCTGTGATAAGGTCACAGCCTTGGCATTTGATAATACACAGGCTATTCTCTAAAGCTACAGGTTTTAAGTTAAGGAGATATGGCTCTTGCATCATTCACATGAAGCCATAATTCAGTGGCCTTTGACCATGATGCTGCATTAGAGGATCAAAACCCCATGGTGAAGAGAAGACATTCTTCTGCTTTTATTTCTAAGCAGAAATAAAGCTCTGCAGAAGCTTCTCAGCTGAAAAAACAGAGATGGCTTCTGGGCAGAAGACTCTTTCTGGCCTGACCCAAACTCCAACACTTCCTTACAAACTGGTTATGAAATAAAATCAATTTTCCAATTTTAGAAAAAAAAAGTAAAACTCTGGAATTTCATCATTAGGTATTTCCATAAATTTCCTTTCTCATTATTTCAGGAATTTCTGAACTTGCAATAGAGAGAACAGACTTTAAAAGAATCAGCCAGATAAAAAGCCCATGCTATTTTACCTCTACTCTGGCACAGCAGAAACATCATGGAGCTGATGCAAACAGAGTTTTTACAAGCTGTACCAGTTTTAGTATCAGGTCAAATTCAGTGTTTTACATGAAGCAATAAACAGCTCCCAAGTCAGTTACATGAACAGTAACTTCTAGAACATTGTTAAGACTATCAGTTCAGAAGCAGTTTAACATAAATTCACCATATTCCTACCTGCAAGTGTTGAAGGTCATCTTCCTGAATATTCTGAGACAAGTTGTATACCTTCAAGAGACAGACAGAGAATTACAGTGTCACATGAATCCACTGTCTTACATTCATATAGTCTCTTGCACACATTGAGTATTTTTGCTCCCTTTAGAAAAAGTGTAACTACCCAAAAGTCAGCAAGTAGAAAGGTGTCACAGAACACATCTCAAACAAAAATCACCTCCTTATTCAAAAATGATTCACTAGAGCCAACTCTACAGGACAGAAGTAATGCTCTACACACTCCTGTTCCTTTTCGGTTGCGTGATGTCTGATCTAAAGTCACTTGTCACCCTCAAGAACCTGTTCACTTTTGGCACTTCTAAGGCACAAGCTTAGAAGTAGTTTTGAGTACAGCACAATTCTCAGGAGTTTAAAGGACACTTGAACAGAAGAGCAATTTTAAGTTCAGCTGATCTCAGCATAATGTCACCCCAAGCTCTATGTACAGCCTTAAAAAGGATTCTGTAATACATCTGTAAAGAAGCAGTTGCTACTCTGACATCTTGGGGGGAAGGGGATTTCCCAGTTCTGTCAGCAATTTAACTCAGCCTGGCCTCGCATAACCTTGATTCCACCGAGCAACTTGGGTAGTTTATGCACTACACTGAAAATAAGACAAAGTATGGAGTTTTAAATCCGAGTTGGAGGAAGATATGCAGGTGAACTTTCCAAGTGTGGCTCAAGAGATATTTTTTGCATGTTCAGGATAGAGGGTTCTGCCAATATTTGCCAGCATGGATATTCTCACCTGGACAGAGCTCGTCATGGTGCTCAGGGCAAAAACTGTTGCACAGTCTTTGATAGTGGATTGGCTATCAAAGGCACCTTGGGTATCCATGAGTAGTACAGCAACCTGCAGAGTTGTAAAGAACAGCAGCAGTCAATCAGATCATGGACACTTTGATGCTCCAGGCCACTGGGGTCAGTTCTGTTCCAGGCAGAGCAAGTCTCTGCCCCGGGCCTGTTGATGAAACCTCAGCCAGCTCCCTGCACACTCCCCCACAGCTGAGTGAGCAGCAGCCAGAGGGCCCTGCCATCAGCCTCAGGTCTCTGGCCTTGCCTGGCCACCTCCTCCCAGAGAAACAGCCCTCCTGGGCCCCGTGGGGGTGCCATGCAGAGTAACTGACAGCTCTCCTTCACCGGAAGGACATCAGCCTCAGCTGCAGATCTAGCATAGTTCATTAGAGCTAAGAGGAAGATGGTTACTTATAAATACATATATATATATCTTAAAATAATTATTTTCAGCAGAAAACAAGATAATTGATACTGTCTGCTGGAATGACAAGGAAGGAAGTGATATTAATGAAAAAAGTTTATCAGTCCAACTCCCATCTTTGGGACCTACTACACTTCCCTTCTCTTTCCCACTGATAAGCAAGAACGAGTGAGTGATTTGTTCCCAAAGCATAAGCAGATTCACACAACATAACTGGTTTTTAACCAGAGAAACGTTTGGTTAGCTGTGAAATTTGTTAAACATCACTAAGCCACTATTTTTAAAATCCATGTCCCACAGATTGGGCATCAGGTGTTTCCTTTGCAAATGTAAAGGGTATGAAATTTAAATAATTTAAAAACGATGGTTCAGAACACAAATAGTTCAAGATTACCACCACTATTGTGGAGTAAATATTTATTAATGACATTAACACATTGTTTCAGCCTAAACACCTCCAAGTAAACTTTGCAGTTAAACTGACTTAAAAAGAGTTAAAACATAATCAAGTTAGTGCTTTTTTCCCCACTGTTAGACTTAGTCTTTCTTTATAGACTGCTTGCTAAAATGATATGGAAGGACCAGCTTCCAGATCCTGAAGTACAGCCATGCACTACATTTCACTAGAACACAGCTAGAAGCTAGACCATATTCTCACCCTTCAAAGAACAGTGTGTGCTACAGAGCTTTTCCCCCCAGCATTTGTCTGTAGATGGTATTTTTAGCCATTACAATTTTACAACATCCCCAGGATAACCCACCCATCAGCCTGGATGGGGCAGACTTTGCCAAAACAAAGTACTCTCAGAATGAGACTATTGTTGAATTTTTCTGCTGGGTTGTAAGAATCAATCTCCATCCTTACACTGATGTACAGTTTCCAGATATGTTACACAGTTGCTCAGTGCAAAGGAAAACAACCAATGTTCAAATAGCCACCATGAAATCCATGACATTAAAAGTGTACACAGAGACCTCTAAGGATCATCTTGTTCCAATCCCTCTGCCAAAGGTAGGGACACCTTCCACTAGACCAGGTTGCTTGGAGCCCCACAGAACCTGACCAGGAACACCTCCTGGATGGGGCATCCACAGCCTCTCTGTTTCATATTTAAAAAAACCCAAAAAGTAACAAACAAACAAACAAAAAAATCAACTCACCATACATCCAAACCAGAAAGTCTACAACTCCTGCAAGGGAGACCTTGAGTAAATCAAGGCGAGATATGCACTCACCTTTGTTCCATTAGGTTTCTCAATTACAAACACTTCACTCCAGATTTGAATGCCAGTGGTTTCCCGTTCACATCCACCTCTCCATGTAAACCCAGTCAATGGCTCGGTGTTTCCACCTATCCAACAAGGAGAAGTCTACAAAACAAAAGGAAAAACTTGATGTAAAACCAAGGAGAACTTTTTTTTTTTTTTTTGAACATGCTATGGGTTTAGCAGACTTCCATACTGTTGTTACATTTTGCTCAGAGCCAGATGACAACACTACACAAAATACTAAAACACAATGCTACTCTGCTGTGTTTCAAGATCATCCACAAAGCATGGTATTTGAGTGGCTGCACAACTTTTTAGTCACTGAAATGTAAGTGTATGTAAGTGCAGTTTTTCAGTCTCCAGCACTCAGAGGTATTGAGAACAGCACTGTTTTGTCCACCAGTTCCACTCTCACAGTTGAGAAAACTCTGCTCAAACACAATAGTAGGTATTTCAACACAGGAACAGCTGCAGGAACCTCTGCAAGGGACAAAACACCTGATCTTAACTTAATCCTCTCCCATCCCCCTCACTAACAGCTGGCTAAGCCTTTGAGTCCCTGCACTAACAGAAGCCAATACCAGACTCCCAATGCCATCTTGCAGGAGCCACAGAGAATAGACAACAACCAGAAGATTTACAATCTATACTTGCCAGTTACAGATAGAAAAGGTCAGTTTAAGAGTTTGATAGATGCCAGTCAACCCATCCATATTAGAGTTGAGGAGCTATCTGAGAGGTGAGTACAGCTGGCAGCTAACATTCCTGGCTGATGGAATTGTAATGAGGTCTTCCAGGAGAGGCAACATAGAACAGCAGCTCACCCACAAGAATCCAACCATTATATGAGCACATCTAACCCAGAAATGTAGCTCATACACTGGCAAGTAAGGAGGATGATCAGGCACCCCAAGGAAGTTTCATCTGGATAGGTTTTTCTGCAGCCCCCTCATCAGTTGAACTGTTGTCTGCCTGCCACTCCTTTCAGTGTAAACAAAGCTTTCTTTCACAGGCTAGAACACAGCAAGCTGGCATAAGAGACATTTAATGAATTGCCTTGAACTACCCAGAGTAGATTACCAGCCAGGAAAGAGTCCAGTGAGAAGGTCAAAGTTGAGATTTCTCAATTCACTTCTGGGCTCTACCTTGCTGACTCCACACTGGCAGTTTTCAGATAAGGGCTCAAGACATTTCTTCACATTTCAGAACACAGCATAAGTACCCAGGGACTGTACAGAATAAAAATACTTGAAGCAACTAAGTGAAACTGCTTATTTCTAAAGGTGGATGGGGAAAAAAACCTGCACATTTTCTTCATGCCTAGCATCATGCAGGCAATCCAGCAGTTCTGCACCAGCATTCTCCCAAATGCTAACAATGCACTACTCAACTCTGCTACCTGGATCAGAAAAAGGTGAGGTAAGCATATAGAAATTCAGAAAATTAACACAGGTATGCAAGTAAAGAGTTCTACAGGTCTTTACAGGTAAGTTGTGTGGGTTTGGTTGTTTGTTTTTTTTTTCCCCTTCTGTTTATTTTGATAGGCACATACACCTCTACCAGAGACACTGCACACAACCCGAACAGCTTTTCCCTGTAGTTTTTTCTATCCCAGAAGATGCTTACACTTCTAGAGACCCCTCTAGAAATGAAAGCTCCAAGCCTGCTATGTGCTGCAGCACACTCCAGGATACAGTTTGACAATGCTGTATCATATCTCACAGGTATGTGTCAATGGACTGCAGCTTTTTAATTTTCAAAAAGAATCTGTTATTCAGTATGCTCCATTTTTCTTTCCTACAAGAACACTTTAGCCCATTTTGGTCCATACATTATTCCTATTTGTATTCCTCCTATTTGTAACAAATCTGATCAAAACTACACAGTTTGACAAGTCCCTCAATGGGCACTAGATATGACCTGATTTGATTTCACAAGTGATTCATATCACAGTAGACTGTAGTGTTTTAACAGGCTCATCTTCACCTGAAGTTGCTTCATCTTATGGATGATGTACTTCAGCCTGCCTCTGATGGACCTCTGCATCACTTTGAAACACTCCTAGTTTGTTACCTACATCTTTCCTTAGCTAAAGCTCAGCATTTTAAGTATCCATCCATCAAGCTGGCTTGAAAGAGATGGGAGGAGGTCAAAAAGGCTCCTACCTGCAATCAAGCTACAAGTTGCTCTACAATTTTATCTCAGTCACCTAAAGGGTAATTTCTTTAACTTTACTCCGCTCTAAGGAAAAGCCCAATGCAGCTTTATTTGCCTAGTGCATTAATACAGAGTACACCTTGAGGATTAATTCAAAATTACAAGGTGACACTCCTGTACAAGTAAACTTTTACATCTAAACCTACAGAACCTGCTGCACCCAACTCTTACTAAAGCTTAAGACCACAGGATCCTCACAGAAGTTTGCCGAGCACACAACTGCTGCTGCTCCATTTCAAAAGAGCAGTCATAACACTCAGGAACAGTGCTTGAAATGAGATGTCCACCTCCCTGAAGGCACTGATCAACCTCTGCCATGCTAAAATCCTACCTGTGACTTCAGCTGGCACCAGGGAGATTTTTACAGTGGCAACTTTCCACATGACCTCTGGAACTCAGTTTAAGACAAGAAAATGAGATTCTGAAGGTTTTATTGGCAAGTCTTTCATTATGCATGTTAATGTCCACATAAAAGGACACCTCAAAATTGCTTGACTGGCACATGAACTGAATGCAGTTGCTTTAGTACTCTGTGCAATATTTAGTTCACAGAAAATACAGACATGCAATTGAGCCTGATTAAAGATGGAGGGCTCAGACTAAGTACTATAGAACTACACCAAGATCTCTCCTCCAGTACTAAATTTGGATAAGCAGAGGATATCATTTGACTTCATACAACTCAAGAGTGCTCCAAGGAGGAGGCGTTGCATTTTCCTCCATCACCCCCAGTTCCCATCAATCAGTTTGCAGCAGTTCTGACACTTGTCAAACTCCTTCCCTAAGCCAGTTTACGTCACTGAGCTGGCAGAAAAACAATTCAGCAAAGTGCAGTTTCTTCTGATGCATCGGTGAGTTGGATCAGTGCAACTACGGGTTTGCAAGCAATACATCTTCAGAATGGAAATACCTGGCCAGAAGCAGCACATGGAAAGCAAGACTGCTCTTGTAAAGAAACAGTTGTTAGAGTAGATGGCCAAGTTTGGCCAAGCCAAGGTGATTTCACCTTCAGTTTAAGAGAAACAAATGCTATTTTGAAGGATATTTATAGAAAACTGAGAAAAGTGACTGCACAATAAAGGAAATAGATAGGCCTGATACAATTAGGCTGAAAAGGCATTTCAATCTGTTTTGCTATATGAATGTTTATTTCACAGTCTGAAAACTAAGAGTTTTGTTTAAAGCTTAGCCCTTCTGTTTTCAAAAGGAACTCGCACTACCTCTTATCCAGCCCAGCACCTTGCTCAGATCGTTGTACATAGGAGTTTGTGTTTTTCTTTGCTTGCAGGGACTGCTGGGGGTTTAATTGTTAGGATAATTTTGAACACAATCCATAATAAATGAAACCTTTTTCCTCCCTAGGTTAAAAGAGTCTCAAGAAGCCAGGAGTACCAGCGTGCTACTCGGTATTCCTCCTACCCTGAGACCCTATCCTCAGGGTCTTTCCTGGGGAGCTCTTGCAAAATGAGGGAGAAGAACTCAATAGCAGGCACCACTGGGACTGAGAGAAGGAAGTCTTCATTTGCCAACTATCAGCAACTTTTCTGCTGTACTCCCATATTTCCTGTAACTGCAGAGTTTGTCTTGATTTTCCCTCAAGCCAGCTAGCACAAATTAGCTCCAAAGAACAGTGAACAAAAAACGAATCAGTTCTGGGTTTCTAAGAACTTCAAAAGGCAACAAAACACTGGCCTGTCAATATTCATAATGCAGACTAAAAGAAACAGCCCACAACCTGTGACAGGCACATGTGCATCCTTCACAGAAGACCCTATTCCACCATCTCCATATAAGCCAAGGGTTCAGAACAAGACAATGCTAGCCAAAAGTTACAAACTAAAAGAAGGAATTAAATTTTGGGCCAGGTTTTAATCAATCAATAACTTAAAAAGATTTTAGGAGTTCCTGGACTGCATTCAGAAACACATTCCAAACAGAAAAAAGGAAACCTTCTCCTTTTTGCCATACATCATATTTAAGCAGATTTAGCTATCTGGTAAGACTTTTATGTTTGCAACAATGGGCAACTGAGTGCTATAATACGATTTCAGAAGGTAAAGTCAAAGCAAGGCTCCCCCAAGTCACCAGCCCTTCCCCAAAGCTCAACTAGAAGGCCATCACACTTCACCATTCAAGTTCTTCTTGTGATCACTTACACTGGGATACCAATAAATTCCCTTGATAACTGCAAGATATGGTACACTGAAAAACTATCACTTAAATGGCCTTCTTCACAGTGTAGAAGCAGAGTAGCTGACTTCCTCTCCCCCAGTATCAGAAAATTTTGACCTGCTGTATTTATGCTCAATTTCACAAACACAAAGAAATTACTAAAATACCAAAGTACTTTTCTCCTGCAGGAAAAATCCAAACTACTCACCCTGTTATACATGTATCTAAGCATGAAGTCCAGCAGAAAAGATTTTCCTTTGCGGAAAGCTCCCGCTACAGACACAACTACTATGTTAAGATCTTTAATATGTTCCTGAAGCAAGATTTTTTCCAATGCTGATTCATCTAATTCAAAGTTATGGTCATCTTCATGAGCAAGGACAATCTGTATGGGGCGTGGCTTATCCAGTTCCACCTCATCATCCGAGTCCGGCAGGGCATCCGAGTCTGGCAGCGCATCGTCCTCTTCTTCTTCATAAAGCTTACCTGCAAATTGACAGGTGAGAACATATTAGTAAGTCACAGCTTCGGCCAAGAAACACTTTTATTGTGAAGCCTTGAGCTGGGCTTATATCTCCAGCAGTGAGGGTGGTGTTCTTGGGAATGCAAAGAGGTCAACAGCAGCTCCCTATCCATTTTCATCAGCTTTGTATCTAGCATGTATTTCAGATCTTCTCTCTTTCTGATATTCTTTATGTATTAAGGAATCACAAAAAAAAAAACCCAACCCCGATTTTCAGCTTCAAAGCCCCTTTTAAAGGCATTTTAAGTCAAGGGCCTTTTATCTGGAAGAAAAATGAATCATATCAAACAAGCTCCAGAGGACCAAAAAAGGGCATTTTTATATCACCACCTTCTTGTTGTAAGGGTGTCAGGGGAAATGAATGTTTTCTGACAAAAGGTTTGTTTGTCAACAGGTACAAGCAAGACCATGGATCTAGTAGGGAAGCCCAGGAAAACAAACACCAGATAAATAAGCTCCTCTCTAATTCCAACACTGTTTCAAGTCTCAATATAGCACAGACTTTAGAACACCTAGTCCCTGTTTGCAAGACAATAAACTACTGGAAGTGTGCATGCCCTAACACTTCTAGGATAAGAGGACAAAAAAACCATTGAAGTAGTTTCTGGCTTTATATTCTTCTACAGTGCACTATTAAGCAAAATTTAGTAACAGCAAGTATTAACTCTTTCAAAACAGTTAAGAGACTTACCCTTTCAGGATAGAACAGCAGCTGGAAAAACTGTAACTCAGATTAAAGTTACTAATGAATGGCAAGGTAACACAGCCCTTCAGACACCCACTATACCAGTACCAATATCCTATATTCCTGACTTCTAGAATTCAGGAGTTAATTGGATTAGAGGCCTAAAAAAAACCCAAACTACCCTATCCAAGGTGAAGTCTCCTCTCTTTTTCAGGCACCACAACACTGAAGTTTGTCCCACAGTAGAAATCAACTCTACCATTCTTGACTCTACTTTTCCTGGAAAGCATCTGGAAAAGCTTCTCTTGTTTTGCTTACTGAATTGCCTCCCACTCCCAATTTACATTTTGCCATGTTCTATTGGAAGCCCATGTGCACAGACCTGACTAAGGCCACCTTCCTACCAGTTACTTATGTGGGATAATCACATCTGATTTTCAGTACACTGTCCTTGCAGTCATGTCCCCATTTCCATGGCAAGGCAGCAGCCACTCCAATCCCTCAATGTGCTGCTCACAGAGAGGTTTCCTGTGGAAGCAGCCCACTCCAAGTGTTCTCCTGCAGGATGGATCCATGAGGTACCACAGAACACACCGTTTTCATTCGTTCATGGAAGAGAACCTGTCAATGCTCACAGGACCTGCCAGACTTTGCATGCAAGATACCATCCTCAACAAAAGATTTATAAACAGGGCTCCAGTTTTGTGGATGTAATGAGACACTGCAGTTATTACCGTAAATTTGAAAAACTGGTAACACGGTGACCCTGAAGTTTCTCCAGCAATTTTCTCCTTATCCAGCTCTGACAACCCTTCATTTAATTGCAAAATGAGAGGATGTTTCCACTTCCATGCATCAAATCTTGTGCTGTTCCAAAGCTGAATGGCATTAAATCTTAAAAAAAATTGGTTTTAATATATTAGGCTTACATGGTACTTGGTTTGAACAGGAAGTGCTTAAATCCTAAGCAGCTAGAACTAAACTCCAACATTATCCAAGTGAGTATGCAAAACAGTCCCTAGCATCACCCTAACTCAAAGTGATTAAACACAGCAGGCCAAAACATTGATTATACCAGCAGGCCTGACAACTGGAAGGAGTAACTTTTAAAAGAAAACCCATCAACAGGACACCAAACCACACAAACTACATTGACACTGACTGGTCACCACTTCAGAGGAAAGTCTCTCACCTTTGGCCTAAAGCTTTTGTACTGCCAGACATTAAACAAGCCCTCTCCTCTTTTTTGAAAGAGTTTCTAAACAGGCTTTGCCCCATATAGACAGGATCCTTTGGAGGCCAGAAAACTTGGGAGGATAGCCCAGGTATGGAGGGATGAAGATCTTGACAGTCAGAAAGAAAGCTTCCAGCATCACAGCCTAGAAACATAAAGGGAACATTCTATTGATAAAAGTATCGAAGTCAGACAGTTCCAAGAAGAGGTGCCTGTGTTTCAGTAACACATTCACACTATGTTTCAAAGCCTCTGCTTCAAGGTATGTCCCTGGTAATAACTTGGTTACCTGGTACAGCCTCCTATTCTTTTATTTAAATACACACTGCATTTAAATACACAGCTGCAGTAAGGGATTGGGTCTGTAAACTAGGGCAGACAGAAAAACAGTTTGAAGCCATACCTGCAGCATCTCTTTGTTCACTTGGGGCCTGACATTAACCATCCTGTCCTACCTGGAAGTCATCAAAACTTGTCAGACCTCAAAGACTCAAGGTGTAGCAGCATCCTTGTGCCAGTGCAGAGCACAGCCACACAAAACCTCTCAGGCCAAGGAGATTTCAGAACAAACAAGTGGAATGGTCCTTTATCATTAGTTATTTATAAACAAGCAGATTCTCCCTATCACAAGGAGATAGTACTATCAAGAGCTTACACAAAATATGCCCATTAAAAGCTTACATCTTGTTAACAGCATTCTGCACCACTGAAGCTCATTAGCTCAGAGGGAACACGAGAGAATATTCATCCTAGAGCCTGCTCAACTCCTATAGATTTCACTTACCAGCAGAAATTGCAAGTCAAGTCCAGAGCACCAAGTTGGGTTTGTTTGGTTGGTTTGTTGTTTTGTGGGTTGTTTTTTTTGGTTTTTTTTTTTTTTTCCATTGACTAACCAGCTAAATATATCTAAGTTCCCAACCTACCTACAGAAAAGACCATCATGGCCATCAGTCAAGCACTTTAGAGGGTGGAGACCTGCAGTGCTGACAGCTGTGAAAGCAACTTGATCCATGCAGAAGAGCTGGTTTGATCATTTTGTGCTTGAGTGGCAGAGAACACCCCTCCTTTCGAGATTTTGAACTAGTTGGCAATTACCAGGACAGACACTGCACAGGTCAAGCATGTTAACAATAGAACAAGTGTTACTGCTTGTCCCAGCAGCATAATCAGCATATGCCACCCTGTCAGGTGTCCTAGGCAGATGTCACAGCCTTTTTTGATCCTTTATCCTGCCTTCTGGCTGCTCACCCTGTCACTCTGGCTGTCTCAGGCAGCACTTAGGGAGTCCTTCTACAAGGCTTCAGTCTCATGGTCACATTACACTTTAAATTATACTTCCAAGCCTCTGAAAACAAAGGTCAGGATAAAAAGCACCCCCCCTTCACAGTCCAGTTTTCTGCAAAAGTGCTGCAGAAGTTCTTCAAGTAGCTCATAAAATAAACATGCTGACTGCAAGGTCTGGTCAACTCAGGCCAGAAGTTTATGCAATTCAGAACTCAAAGCCCTGTCCCTTGGCTGTCCCCCATTCCTCACCTGCTCCAGCACAGTCACAGTGTACTACTCAGAATTTAATCTGATTTGTTCTAAATCCCACAGACTGCTCTAGGTTCTTGCAATAGTTCAGAGCCAGCAAATCAAGTATAAAAGAGAGGAGTACTAACTTTAGAAGAGGTGGCATTTACAGAATGGCCACTTCTACTTCCTAGCCCCCTGGACAGTACTTTGCAAAGTTCATGGCAGCATCCCGTTGTAGGTCTCTATAACAATACATTTCAGTACTGCTACAGAGGCAACCAAAACAACAGACTTTTGATGGTTTGGGGGTTTTGTTTGTTTTTTATAGCATATTTTAACACTTTACTAAGCCCAGTTTGGTCCCAGTAATGGAGTTACCAACCCAATACATTCACACAGGGACTGGTTGTTTCAGAGGAATGTTCCATGTTCTGCACACACAACAGAGAGGCAATGCTGCCTCCTGCCACAGGATTAAAGACTGATAGATTCACCCAACTCACTCCTGGGGTTGATCCTTATGTTGGTGGAAATTCCCATGTGTACAGAAGATCTGTCAAACCATAAGGTACTAGAACTTGTAGCACAGTGCTGCAGGCCCAAGAAGCCACAGATGTATACTTCTTTTGTCAAGATGCTCACCTGACCTTTGATGTTTCTACAGTACTGAACACACTCCAGACTAAGGTCATATGTGCTGCTCTGTCTGGAGCTGATGCAAAAAGATCATCAACTGGACTTGCCCCTGAAGTCTGCCATCCATTCACACCTATTACTGTGGCTGTTCACTAACCAGTCCCTACATCATTTTGGCTTCTTCCAACCTGAATTATTCCATTAGAACCTGTGGGCTAAGGCACGGTTCTGACTGACACGATCACTTCCTAACCCAGGTCAAACAGGCTGGGGACACACAAGAGAAGCAACACTGTGCAGCAAGACACAGAAGCAGACAGATTTGAATGGGAGCAAATATAGCCAAGGGAAGATACTACCACTCAGTTTCCTCATAAACTCCTCACTGCACTCAGTAATAACTACAGCAGGGCTGCTATTTATTCTCACCATCTTAAGTACCCAGAACAAGCACCATTTGTTGAAATACTAAGCCAGATTTTGAGAACAGTAGCTTCTTGTATATGCAGACAGTATTTCAACTGAACAAACCCCACTAAATAACCCATTTCTTAAAGCATGAGGTAAAATGAAAAGCCAATTCCTGCTTCCCCTATGTACACAGCCAGCAGCTGATGACCTACTTGTCCTGCAGTGTAAGAATACGAGAGTGAAAACACTCAGACACCTGCACACTACAAAAATAAGACAGCCTGCTTTAAATGCGAGCTCTTCCCTTTAAGCACATTGACAGAAAATACAGTTACCTTTAAGTTTCAACCTAAATACAGCTTGAACTCTTTGAACATATTATCCACATCCTTTCATTAAAAATAAGAAAAAGTACATACTAATTGCTAAACTCAGTTTCAGATATAGTAAATGTTTTTGATCAACAGGCACTGGCTCACAAT